AGCGTGACAAAGTGGGTTAGAGTCACGCTCTGCCCCCTGTCAACCCACTTCAGGTCTCCCTCCTTCCCCTAGTGGCCTGTAGGGTCTCTATGATCATGGACAGCTCAGGCATACTGGTACATCAGATGGCATCAGGGCAGCCATGATGGATCTGTTTTCCTAAGTGGAAAAGAAGCCCCTTCTGGGATTAGTAATTGGACAAAGACATTCAGGAGAGCTGTGATCAAGTAAAGCTCTTTAAAGTCTTTTAAAGTCTACAGTTTCCTCACACATACTGTAAAAATAATTTAGAGATTAAGATGACTGTATTCTAAAAATGAAATTAAAAAAGTTGTGGCTGAAATCAAATGCAATGATCTTTTTGTCCTTGTTGTACCAACTTTTGGTATTTGCTGCTATTTTGTACTGACCAAGTTGTTGATACAGAAGTTAGGGAAGATGTGAGTGAGGTACACAAAGTAGAAAAACCATGATCACTTTGTGTGCAGATACAATTTAGTCATTCATATGCAGAAGCGATTTCATTGTCAGCTAGAGGACGGTAATTATAAACAAAGGAAATGGTCATGTTGAAACATGTTGAGTAAACCCAATGATAGATCACATGGCAGCCATTTCCTTGCACAGTCATGATAAAATGACGGACATGTCTTTCATTGGATCATTTAGCGCTCATTGATCTCATGATTACCATGTTAACTGAGCTGTCAGCTTTGGCATCAGGCATCACTGATTCAGGCGCAGGGAAAGAAAGTAAGGAGGCAGGCTCACTTATCATGCATGACCACACAATCTCCATCATCTTTCTCTGAAGGCTAGCCGGCGTGCTAAAAACGTGTTTTAAAGAGCTCCTTTAACAAAGTAATGTATACCTGTCCAGTCTTGTTTAGTTCAAGCAGGATGACAAATATGAATAATTTGCACAGATCCTCAAACAAACAGCAAACAGCACACATACATTTCAGATAGAGAGATCTCATTTCTTTCTTCACATGTCATGGCTGTTGTTTACTGCAAAACCATACATTATGAGGATTAGTGGATCAGGAGAGGACTTACTAAGAAGAACTGAAAGAAAGAATCATTCAACAGGATTTGGAGAGCATAGACAATATAGTGATTGTTTTGTTTAACCTGTCAAACTCTCAAAGGATCAGACCAAGTGAAAAACTGTTTTGAATGTGACCACCACCAATGGTTTAATGATACTATTTTAAGCAATATGAGGCTCAGATTTATTACCCTGTAAATCTGCAGTGCAGCAGAGAAAAAAAGCTTGCATCATAAATCATTTAGGCAAAAATATTTTCAGGGTTCCAATTTTGATTAATATTCTAATCAAAAGCCTTTTAGTTTGATTAGAACACCAAAAAGGCAAGGCAGGTATGATATTAGTTAAACAAATCAAAACTTGAACACACTCAATTTGAGGAGCTGCTGTATGACATGGAGTGTGTTGGAGTGGGCTTTAATGCCCTACTGAGGACAGTTTAGAAAATGATTATTGAACAGTAACACAACTTTTATTAACATTATACAGCTGTCAAAATGTTTGTAATGTTTTCAAGTAGAAGTTTGTAGTTAATGGACCAAAACATACAAAACCACTATTATGGTCCTTTAATAATGCTCAATTTGTCCTTGTAAAAATAAAAATTGGGCCAATAGACCTCTGGTCATCAGAAACAGTAGACTTATTTATTATACAATATAAAGTATAGTCAGTTAATTAGTGACTGTAGTTTCCAGCTAAAAATCAGATCTTAACTAACTAAAAATAAGTCCTACAACGGCTACTCAAATATTTTCTTCATCCTCTATGTGGATCAAGATCTTTGCTTAATTTCTTTTGTGAGAAATGAGATATAGAAAGAGAATGAAATACAGAGTCCAGACAGGACTGTGTGCACACACCCAGAGCAGAGCCCCAGGTAACAGATGGAATTTATTGATTTGGGATATATCTCTATTACCCAAATCCAAGGTCATTGAACCTAGCGTCTACCTGTGAAACGCTGTCAGTCTGTGTTGAGGAAGATAAAGGACATCCTATTCATATAGACAGAATTTGATAGACTGTGTCATGACAAAATATACACAAAGACATCAGTATTTGTTTAGGGCTTGTGCACAACTCACCACCCTTACACGCTCATGTTTTCCCTGTGACACACCAACACTCTTATTATTCACTATGACACACACAGCTTTGTATGCCCCTCCCTTGTTCATTTCAGAATCTGTCCTGCTGACGCTGATCAATTGCAGTGGCAACGTGGAAGATGGATAGAAGAACTGAGGTATTGACAGCAAGAATGGATGTTACAGGAAGTCAGTCAGTACAGTCGCGCAGTGACTGACTGTGGTGGGGGATTGTCAAAGCAAATGACTCACTCAATCCACCCCCCCACCCAACGCTCTTCCTTTCTCTGTGATGAACAGTAATGTGCTTAAATTGAGTGCAGTGCTTGACTATCATAAATGAAGGCAATCATTTAAACCACCAGCAGTGATCTATATTGCACGAAGTTGTGTCTTGAAATTGAAGATCTATTTGCGGTCTATAGCAACAGTGAACAACAGTCTGGTGCCATTACTTTAAAAAACCTCAGACATACACGTAATGAGAATCAAGATTAGTCTTGTCAAAAAACTCACACACAAGATTCACAGATGTTGAGTCATTAATCAGCCAAAGCTTTTTGAAATACAGCATAGCAAACCTCCATCCTTAGAGAATATTTTTCACATAAATTACTAGCATTAAAAGAAATCTGGAAGAGACTGCCTACCCCAACTGTTTGAAAACTAGACCATAAATTGTCAAGTTGATTATTATCATATTAATATGTGGGTAATTCACAATCTCACAACACAGCATTGCATACACAGTAGAAGTAATAACATTTTATATCAGTGACAAAAATAAAAACATACATGACAGACTTTTTCTTTCATGTTTCTGTTCATTTTTGTAGCATGAAACTCACCTGTTACGCATTTATACTCACTAGATCGTTGAGTTGAGTTTAGATGAGTAAGAAGAGCTCAAGTGTGACAAGAAAATTGCACCTAATTGCAGTTATTCAAACAAGAGATTTGTGGTATATCTGTAAAAAAGAAATGCATAATGGAAAGGTTTTGTCCTTCACAAAAATCAAAAGGTTCTTCATTAAAATAATGACATACAGTGCAGCCTGAGTAAAGGCAAAAGCCCACCAACTGATAAAAATTAATTGGGTGCATAGTACATGTGCAATAAACAATTTCTAGATTTTATTCACACAGTCTGCATGAGAAATATCAAGTCTGCATATATCAGCCCAGTCATTGTTATGGTCCCCTAGGGACAAAGGCTGGATTTTATTGAATATCAGTAGGTCACTGTGACTAGCTGCTTGTGAAATGACTGCAAATAATGCATTAAAGTTCAATTGGCTAATATAGCTTAGCAGATGTTGGCTGCTTGGATAACTGGCTCTGGTGGATGTTTTGAATGCTCCACTGTACTTTGAGTTACTGCTTTCAAATCTTTACATATAAACAGAAGTGATACTACCCAGCTAACTGCTGAAATGCTTGCATGCCTATGATGGAAACTGCTAGTCTTCTAATTAATTAAGTTGCTAGACAATCCAACAAACCTCAGAATATCCGTTTTTCCCATAAAAAATGGCCTCTGCAAGAGAATTCTTCTGAACTACTACAGTAGAGGTAAAGTGTGGAGAAGGGTCACCTTTTTCCAACAAGCAAAATGCTGCTTTCAAGTGTCTACCAGAATTCACGTCTATCAAGTCTTTTCTCTGAGAGGAACACATGCCATATTTTGGCATGGCATATCCAGCCTCACACAGTCAGTCTATATCTTGCAATCTCAGATTTATTTATTATTTAACAATATTACACTGCACCTCCTGGATTTATTGACATTTCTTAGTGTATTTCGAACTTTCTGACATTACTCATTCCTGTTTTTATTACACAGAATGCCTCAATATTAGATGTTTTTGAAATGCATAGATAAACCTCCATCCTGTCCTCTGGCTGCTGGTGCAAGCTACTAAAACATACATGGTAGAATAAGCCTGTATATCTGGAGGTATTTGGTCAAAACGCATCTCTTCACTTTGCCTTCTGCAGTCAGCACCTGCCAGGGTGGCTTGAGTTCTGCCCGGGAGGAAAGTCAAGAGCAATGTCTTCATTGCTGGATTTTTCTTAAGCACACAGTGAGCCCAGAACATGGGCACATGGTATGGCTGGACATGGAATCTATTAAGTAAATTGTCCAGGGGAGCACAGACTGATGTGATGAATATAAATCATTTGTGGCTCTTTGTTACGTGTGACTTGTGGGATTATCTGTGCGGGTGAAAAAGAATGAATGCCCAGTGCAGACTGGCCAAGCCAATGGAATGGCGTGGAAGATGAATGGTAAACGTTTCAAAGGGCAGAGTTCATGTTCTAAATATCATGCATCATAGAGGACCAAACACAACTCATTCTCCACAGCAGAAATAGACTATGGCTATGTTGAGATAATAATATCTAATACAGAAAGTAAACAAATAATGTATCCTTGTGAGTGTGCCTGTCTGGCTTCACACAGTTCTGCTCATCCATCTCACAGATATGCAAAATAAAGCAAATGGACATTTAAAGATCCTTTGCAAGATGTGGACAGAGTGTCAGGCTTGTTACTGAAAGCAGCAGTGTTACCAAACTGTTGGATGAATGAACGGTTGAGAATAAATATAGCTATATAATTTAGACATGTATCTTTGAATATAGAGCGATAAACTCAGTTGACCAGAATAAAATGAGTCTGCACCCTACAAGTAATGTTTCTCAATGATTTGCAAGCAACACCAGCAGCACCATAGAGCAGGCTACGACTTGAATAGTTAGGGAAGTAAACCCAAAGTATAGTTATCATATACAATAATCACTTCTAAAGGAAGCTAATGGAGAGTAGATGTTTTTATGATGATATGGACCCACTCTTTTTCCTTTTGATTTTATTTTCCAGCAGGTTAATGTGACAATCAGTGGATCAGCGTACAGCGTAGTGCATCCTCACAGTTGCCTGTATAGCTCAGTTAACATTCTGAACCTGTTTGTCACGGCCACTGTCCAAAGGGCTGATTCTGAATCAACCATATTTACTGTGGGGGGATATTTGCTGCGGTGGCCAATCACGTATGCCAGCGCTCATACTGGTCTAACTGCTCCACAGTCACCCCGAAAACAGGCACCATCCGGACGGAGTTCATGGACCTAACAATGATGTTAGTGGTGTCCTCGCTTGGTTTCTTTCTTCTACCCAGCTTCATGTCTGTGTCTGGTTTGTAGTGTATGCCGGAAAATTGCAAGAGAGAGAGGGAGAGCGAGCAGTGGTGGTCAAGAGAGGGAGCACTGATCAGAGGAAATAAAACCTTCTTTTCTGAGCGGTTACGTTCTAAAAGAAACATGAACCTCCGGGTCTGAAAGGTGAAGCCACTGCGGAAGTTCCTTAAACCTGCTCACAAAAAAGAGCTACTCAATGGCATCTGCGAGTGGTGGGGATAACGATACCGGGCTAGCAGAATAAAACAAAACAAAAGTCTCAGCCACCATTTGGAGGTATATTGAGTTTAGTCCCGGTGATAAAGGTTCGCCAGGCAACATGGATGCACATGAACTCCATTCAGCCCACTGAGGTGCCATCAGGTCATCCAGCAAGAATCAATCTATTCATTATTCTATGGCCAAGACTAAGCAGGCTTTTTTTTTTTATTTCAGGATGGTATGAAAAAATAGATACAACCCAAGAACAGCTATAAGCAACGCACTTTATATACAGGACATGCATACTGAGGACTGTACTAAGTATGTCTTTGTTAAAGTATAATCTTCACTGTTGGGCTAGAATGACAGGACACTGGATATATTCAAATACAAACGCATTATCACCAAACCCCCTCTGCTCAGATGGTGTGATTTACACCTTCAGGAGAGAAAAAAAACCCCGGTCTGTCTCAGTTGATGGATCCATTAAGGGATAAAAGACAAGGTGTACTGCAGAAGCAAACTGAAAGAAAGGGTCTATGATGCTTTAGATCCGCAGAGTGAAAAAAGAAGGAACAGAGGGAATAAATGCAAGCTGATGGCTTGCAGGGACATTGTATGCCTAAACAATAGACACATTACATTTTGCCTTTGTAACATTATTCAGTGAAATTAACCCAGTATAATAAATGCAACATGTTTACCAATTACACTGGCATCCATTAAGTGACCACCACAGCACCCACGCACATACAGTACTATATACACAGACATAATTTTCCTTAAACTGGTACACACTCTTCTTCAAAAAAAGAAAAGCATTTTCCTGATTTCATATTCAGTTTTTTGTGAATACATTTCACAAGTTTTCCCCCACATATATATATTTTTTAATTTAAGGTTGGAAATCCATGATGATTCGCTTCAGCTAGCACACATGCATGGTTCAGTCTACCCACCCACCCCCAGTGACACCCTCATAAGTTGCTGTTTTCTGAAGCGACTGAAAAGTAATACGGAATACGAAAAATCTTTCCTCCATTCTAATCCACTGACTTTCTTAAACTGGGGTGAGGTAACAAAAACACTGCATCATAAGAAAAGCAATATATCCTGAATAGGAGTCTAGGCAGGAGTTCATAATTGACAACAAACAGTATTCCAATAATGTTGTATTATGTATGCATTAAAACGGTCTGTCAGGCATGTTTTTGTTATTTAGGAGATGGGTCGGAGTAGCATCTGTCAGATAAATAAATAAAGATGAAATGCTATAAAGCTCTCTGAGAGAGATGGGGCGGAGCTGTATTCTTCAATGTCTGGGAGCTGAATAACTCTCAGACAGAGAGGGAGGGGCATTCTCATTATTTTCGTTTAAGGAATTGATTTGTTGCTTTGGCAAGGAATTCCATTATCATACAGCATTAAGACCTCCTTCTGAAAAAATAGGTAGGTTTCACTTCTGAAATAAAATTGAAGTACAATCATAACAGTGGAACCTTGCTTCCCTCACAGTATAGAGAGGTTACAAACAAATATCACTATATTAAATATGCATATTTGTTTTTGTTTCTTTTGTTTTTGCTAAATGTTGCCTTCTCAAAATGTCAATTCTACTGATGGATTATTATGAAAAAGGCTAAAAAGAAAAGGTCTTTCCAAACACCCCAGTGGACATACTGGATTCACTGAAAAATACTAACAGTGTCTTAGATGCACAATTTGCAGCTTGATGTGCTAAATGGCAGAGAGTAAGTCCGGAAGTTAAAAGCTAACACATCACAGTAAGATTAATTGCTTGCAACATCTATGCTGGCAGCCAGGAGAACTCATGAGGATCAACCAGATTTCGAAAGCCACTCAGCTGAAGTGAGTCATTTACATACATTAGATTTAAGTAGTAAGAAATAAATTTTCTTGCTATAGGGTATTTCACACCTTCTGGCACCTTTCATGTCAGGAATCATTTTTGTTTCAGAAAGTCAAGTCCAGAGGAGCTTTGCAAAGACTTCAGTGTAAGGACACTCAACTCTCATGTCTCTGGGTAAGAGATGGATGATTGCAGTTGTCCAAACTTCTGAATGAAGTCTTCCTGAGCCTGGACTAAAGCCTCCTCATCTATGTACACCGCCGGCCTCCTTGCTGCAACAAAGTACTGCACCTTCCTCAGGCTCCAGCCGAGGACGTACATGAGCAGGCCACACACAGCTGCGGTCGACCTGCCTACTCCAGCATTACAGTGAACATAGACACTGTGACCATTCTCCAACAGACCATGAAGCAAGAATACAGCCTGGGGAAGCATCCTGATCCGACCTGCAGAAGAAGACAATAATGCAGGAAACACTTAAAGGAGAAGGCTGGCGATATTCTATATTTTTATTCTTATCTCAATAAATCCCATGAAAAGACCAAAAACCAGCAGTGTGTTAGATCAGTTGTTCTGCCTGTAGCTCCAAGCCCGTTCATCCCAACTTCATTAAAACTTTGAAAACAGCTCACAAGTGTATACTTTTATTATGTTTAAAAGGCTCAGTTCTTTCCTAAAACAGCTGAGCACTGTCATTTTTTAACAAACATGACTCAAACCGAAGTAAATAGTGCATTTGTTGGGGACTATTATTAAGATATGTATTAATACACATATGGTGTTATAGTGAAAAAACATGTCATCTGCTACCACAGTGTGGCTCATTAATGTGTTTTTAATCATTTTTGGTCAACAATGGAGGTCTATGGCATAGATGAATAAGATAAATCTGGCTTTGGGTACACAGACAGACATCACTTATTTGTAGGATCAGTTCATTGGTGGTTGATTAGTTCACAATAAGAGAAATACAGAATATCACCAGACTTATCCTTTAACATACTGTGACTTGCGTTGATTAAATATATTTACTACTTTGCATCACCTTTGGAGAAGAAACTTAAATATAACCTAAAGGCCGATACCACCCAAGCCTAGTTCAGGATTCAAGAGCAAAATGTCATGCTGTCAGGAATAAACTGCCTGTCAGGTATCGATCATGCATAGGATCACTAAGTACATACTCACGGGGATTTGCTCAGAATGTGATCACTTCATTTTGTTTGAACTTTGGTGCAATTATGTTTATAATGCTTTCTTTAAATTCACGGTGGAAGCATAAGTCGCAATTACTTTGTGACATAACACATGAGATACTGTACTATGTAATTAATTCTTAACATACTGGTTAAAGAACACTTTGTAAGGGGATTAGTGGCCATGGTTTATTCATCTTGTTTTAGAAATTGTTAATAAAAGGCATTCATCCTTACTGATTTTCTGACCTTTGACATTTGAATGGAATCATTCATTTAACTTTCTAAGGTTAAAAACGGCTTGGTGAAGGTCCGCATAGTGAGAGTAAATGTAGAGCGTGTCAGCCAGATTATCCAGTCTCATGACTGTACTGTATATGCACTGCATGCATGTCTTTGAGGAAGATGTTGAGTTCTTAACAGCTCCGAGCTGTGGCTGTCCTCTTACTCTGATTTAACTACTATCGTTATTACTGAATTTATTCTTGTGAGTTTACAAAATTCTCCTTACCCTCAGTGCTCATGTCAGGTGTGGGTATCCACACATACACCAGGCCACAGTCTTTGTACAAATGCATCATGGTCTCTGGTGTCATGGCTTCCCCAGTGTTGCGCCTGCAGCCATTGGAGTTGTTCACCACATCCCACTCTGTCTGGAAGTTCATCACTGCAGTAATGCCCAATTCATGCTTCATCTTTATAGTCACATGTTCCACCTGTCGAGGGCAGCTGCCCAGCCAAACACGTGGCAGCACCCTGGGGGCAATAAACAAGAATGTGTTAGTCATGTATTTGTATATGTACGTCATTATTATATGCTACACATACTCATCTTTCTCTCTTTGTTTCTTTCTCCTACCTCTCTCCCTCATAGCAGTGATGTTTTATTGACCTCTTGTCCCTCTAATTTTCTGACTGACCACTATGGTCTGAGGCAGGCAGCATTTAGTACTCATTAGCATGCATAAAGTCAACAACCACAGGAGGTGACACATAAAAAGGAAGGAAGGATGCTGTTAATCTGTGATGTCCCAGAGTGACACTGCAGTAAAAGTCTCTGGTCTCGACTTGCTGTTATCAGATGACCTCTGTTTATTTTTTTTATTTCAGCAAAACAGCATTTGTCGTCAGTGAATCAACTGTCCTTCTTTGCCAATGCGGAATTACACCCTTGTTTATTTCTTCAAAAAAATCATGAAAATCATTGAAAAAACATGTGTATGAACAGTCTGACTATTTCAATCTATTACAATGAAAATATGAGAAATGTCTTGTTTTCATTTAGTTCTTTTTAAAAAGAAGTGTGTCACTTAACCTAACAATGAAGGAAAATATATTAACCTTTGAAACAGATGTCTGATTTAGTCACTAGTGTTTAGTTCTTCCAAGTTATTTTAGAAACTGACTTGTTGAATTAAACAGTAATAAAAACTCAATGGCTATATAACCCTTAGGCCTCTTCTCATCTGAATATGAGCATGGGAGGCGAGGCACCTGCTAGACAGTGAGCAAAAGTCTCTTTGAATCATATAATGAGTTACTGCAGAGGTGAGTGGGTATGATACTTGGGGCTACACTGACGCAAGGTCTGACAGACTAATTTAAAAAGCTATTAATAGACAAGGTACAAGGGCACAGTGCTTCCAACTGAACACAGGCCCTTGACATAAGCCTTGTAAGGTCTTTGGACACAAATTAAAGCCGGATGGCACCAGCCAAGCTTGCTCATTCTTACGCAAGTTATGTGCTCACTGCCTCAGGGGTCCCGGGCTAATTTCTTCTGTGCCTGGTATACCATGGCACTGAGTATGTGCCTTACAAAAGGAAGCCATGCATGGGTAGGTTTATTGTGTGTGTGTGTGTGAGCATTTGCTCATCAATTCAACCCCAATATACAGATTCTGTCAAATATATGGACATGCATGGAATGCTGGAACAGAGGTTGCAGCAGTTCCCTGTATCTTTTTGCCACTGCAATTTTTTTCCCACCAAAGCAAAGGGTCCTCACTCCTTGGGATCACTTTTTCTTACACGTATCTGCACATTTCAACGTGTGCTGTGCGATTCCCCTGAAAATCCATTACACGTGTGTCAAACTCCTGCCATAATCCTCCTTTGGATTTTCACCTGGTAATTGCACCACCACCCTCTGACACACAGAAGCACATCCCAAGATAGCCCTGCCTATCCAAAGTAAGTCTGTAAAGCAACAGTAAATGACCTCTACTTTATCTTGTTATGCCATGTGTCTAAGTGAATCATCAACTTGTCTTTTCCTCGTAAAAGAAATTGAGCTACTTTGTATTTATTCGATGTGATATGATGTATTATCATTATTATTTCTACTACTATTATTAATAACATAACAGCAACAATATTATTATTATTAAGTGGGGGGGTCCAGCCCTGAAACTGTAAGCAATGTGCGCTTTCTCTCTGTTCTCTCGTGCTCACTCTAAATGCTCAGTAACAAAAATGTGAGCTGTGAGTGTTCCCTCCTGCCCCACAGACATGGTTGCTCTATTGAGAAGAGAGACCCGAGGTATGATTTTAGAAATGGCTACGTACTGCTCTGCTGAAACTTCCTTGCTGGCGTCTTCAAAGGGCCAGATGGCTTCAATGGCTTGGCTGATTTGGGACCATTCTCCCTCATTCAAGTACTAGATGTTTCTCCCAAGAAGACAAAGTGCTGTTATAACCTCTTGTCATTGTTCATACAGTCTCTACTGCTTGGATTAGTCTGTGCTCTGGCAATTGCAACTGAATGTGTACTTGTTTTAGCTTGTCTGATGATTTGGTGCTATGGTGGACAGCACCACATTTCTCCAGGGTGGACTCCAAACTTGTGTCAGCCTTAATGGCGTCCTTCACAACTAAGTTGAGGGTGTGTTGAGTTGAGACCATATTAGCTCCATTGTCTGTAATAACAGCATGGACCTTGCTGGTAATGCCCCATTCCGATATTTATGCGAAAAGTTGTATTGGGTCTGCTGTGTGCTGTACAGCTATCTGCCAATACTGTTCAATAAAATGTCCTGGCCCTGTCAAATAAGCTTCAGTTGCTCTTGCTGTCCTCACATCACTTGTTAAAACCACACTGCTTGCAGATCTCTAGATTCCTTCAGTGTTGTTTTGACTTGCTTATATAACTTTGGGATTTCACTAGACATCAAGTGTTTCCTACCAGGGATTTTGTATTTGGGATCACCTTCAAAAAATGACGGAAATAGGTTGCAAGTCAGTAACAATCACCTTGGCTAGGCGCCTTCTGATGTCCTGGGGTCTTTGGGAATCACCTAAAAAAGGATTAAGATTTACATGACAAAAGGGAAGCTGAGTTCTGATTGTCGTTATATAGTTGAATTTCTTTTTTCTGATTACCCTCATGTAACAACAAAAAATATAAGTGATTTTTTATATAAGTGAACTTTAGGATAGCTACAGCATAGATGCAAAATAAACATGTTTATTTTATTCTTCTTTTAATCCTCCATACTGTATATGAGCTAAGCTTTGAGGAAAGCTTTTAAAGCTAAAATTCTATTAAAAAAATGTTGATCAAATAATAACAATAATAATTTATTCATCTCTTCCTTGGCTCTGGACCAACCAATACACAGATTTCACTAACTAATAATAGTGCTACCTGTACCCGGATATGCTTTGCCTCTCTGAAAACTCTTCTGCAATGCCTTTTTGACGAAGGGTGGTCCAGGAGACTTGGATGTAGGGGTATCTTCTTGTTTTTTGTTCAGCCTCTTAATAACTTTCAGTGTTGTTTTTAAATGTTTGAAGAGGCTACTTGTGTTGCTGGTTTGTGGCACTCTCTTGTCAGACCACTCAGCTGCATTTCTATCGACGGGTCAAAAGTAGCAACACACCACGCTAAGTTTCCTCTACATCCATGCCACACAGTACTCAGTCACTCAAGTTTTAAGCAGAAGTGTGCTGCGCCTGCACGGCGTGCTCAGTTCTTGTTTCCACAGTCATGTAACACAGGGCAACTGAATATGTCAGGGCTGTTTATTTGCACAAACTTTATAAGTACTGAAAACATAAGGCAGTGATTCAGCCACTTTTATAATCAATATTTTTTAAGGAATCGATACCAAATGAGTAGCTTGTGAGTATCGATCCCAAAGTATCGCTCTGCCAACCCCTAACAACTGGTCATGGTGCAGTGGACAAGTCGCATGCCTTTGGTGTGAGAGACCAAGGTTCAACTCCCCACTGTGACATCTCCACCAATGGGTCCCTGAGGATAAAAGTGTCAGCTAAATGAATAAATGTAATGTTATGTAATAAATCTTAAGATGTAAGGAATGTGTGCCTTCCCAAAGGGGAGCTGAAATGGATTTTCAGAAACTTGTAGAATCTATGCCAGGCAGATTAAGGGTGACTTTCAGCAATTTCTTCATTACCATTTATATGTGGTAAAAAAATTAAACAGAGGATCCATGTGTAAAGATATAAAATATTTTGACCGGAGCATAAGGTGACTGATTTGAATGCAATTTAGCCAAACCTGTAATTGAGATGTCATGAAATGACTCAAACAGCTCAGTATTTCTCCCTAATAGACTTGTGAACAGGATAGAGATTTAAAAACAAAAACAAACAACTAATGCCAAGGGGGACAAAGAAGTGTGCTTCCACAGCCACAGAGTAACTATCAATCACTTACTGTATGAACAGCCTTGAAAATAAAGTGAATTCTAACCGATGCACTCTCCTCTCCACTGAGATCACCGACAAGGTTGAGGAGGTGATAATACAACTGCGCGTAGACTACTTTTTAAAGGACAATCATTTTCAAGTGACAGACTATAACTAAATGGAAGAGAGCAAGGTTAAAAAACAAAAGAGTGAACAGGCATAAGAGGATAAGTGAGGCTTTGTCTGCCCTGTAAGACAGGGCGGAGTTCTAAACTCTTACTACTTCCATCAAGAAAGGGTAGTGTTTTTTCCTGCCCTCTTTGCAGGGCACTGATGTACTGAAGAAGGATTTTCTCTGACAGATGTAATATCAGGGTGGAGCAGAATTCAAACTTGCATTGGGAATATCTACACGAGCCTTACTAAAGACGTCTGGCTATGTTAAAAACTGTAAGGTAGATAAGGAAAGAGGAACTGATGTGATCCTTCATCTTCATCCTTCTTCAGCGTGGAAATGTATTGGCCCCAGTGGATCTCATTCATTTTTAGTATCATTAAATATAGTACACACAGGATTTCACATGACAAACGCTTAAAACTTTCACATTTCATTACAATAGGGTAAGAATGATGGATCTCTTTCTGTATTTACTACAGGCTACAAGGTGAATATTTTGGAAGTTCCCAGGTTTAGGGCATGTTTGTCATTGAAAATTGCTGATGTGAGGTAAAGAACTAATGAATGTCCAGATTACTAAGAAGAGTTAGTTAATTAGATCAGAACAACTCATGTTGGTACAATAAATATGAACCTAACTTCAGTACCCCCCGTGACCCTGTTCGCAGGATAAGCGGTTGACGATCGATGGATGGACTTCAGTACCCAGTTAGCTCAGCTTGGCACAAAGACACATAACAAACTGGGAAACAGTTGGCCTGGCAATGTCCAAGGATAACAAAACCCACCTACCAGCACCTCTAAAGCTCACTAATTAACAAGTTACATATTGTTTGTTTAATCTATACGAAAGCTGGTCTATTTCTTGGCTGGGCCCAGTCATCTAATGGCACTTGATTGTTCATAAATGTGATAGTTTTCAACTGTTTAAACAATAACTATTCACCTTCCCTCTCTAAATTGTTGAAGAATAAAATGAACTACAGAGAAAGTGTAATTCTAATTAGGGGCATCATGTTTCATTGAACCAGATGAGAGGTTTGAAAACAATAAAAAATAATTTCAAATTATCAAAGTCTGCCATTTCTGTTTTAATGCTTAGCTGACCCACCCAGATCATCTTTGTAAAGTGGGAGGTTAGAGGTAAAGCTCAACAACAACAAAGGATAATCCTGAAGCTCCGATGCTGGAAGGCATCTTAAGCACACAGCCGTTTGCATTCAGGTTGCAGGACTGACTTTCCTTATAAGGCCACCCATGTTGTCCACCTCTAACACACACATACGCACACACGCACACACAGGCTACACACCTATAACCCCATTTCCTAGACAGTAAAGGAGAAACATTCATTCAACAAAAGGACTACCGTACGAAACATTGTTGTGAGCCTGGCTGCTTAGTGTGTATCTGAATTTTACTGATTGTTGTTTTTTTTAATCGCTCCATTTTTAGGATTGTCTATCTATCTATCTATCTATCTGTCGTCAGGCTGCCAACTTACTGACGCTATGTTTTCAAAAACCTTTTAGCCAAAACTGTGACATATTTTACTTACTTAATGAAATGTAGACACTCACAGAATTTTGCATACAGCATCAGGGAGATGGCGTTTATTGTACTGTATTACCTGGAGAAATGGATGGCCTTCTGACCTGCCACACTGAAGTAAAAGTTGGTGGTGTGTTTCATCTCATCCGTGTGTCCTGTTTCCTCTATCCAATGACCAATCGGGTGGCAGTACACTCCATCCACTATGTTCCTCTCATCATATGAACAGCATCTGTCGTGGCTTGAGCCACTACCTGGTGACAAAGAAGACAATCCCTCTGTAGGTTAGTGACCAAATACTCATTTTATGATGTTCTGGGACACACTACTAAGCTCAACCCCAATCAGTTACAACAATATCACTTACATGTGAATGCATTAATTATAACAATCCAGTAATATAATATAAATACCGTAAAACTTCAATTAATAGCCGAGTCCCAATTAGCCGCCTACCTCCTTTACTGGCTTGGTGTGGGAACACATTTTGACAATTAAACTGGTCTAGTTTTTATAGAAGTTCTTTGGATGTATAAACCCTGCGGGGTCACCTGCTTTAGCTGCTTCTAAGCTGCTTAGATCGTTTATACAAATATTAATGTTTAAACGTATGATCAATATGTCAATATGGACATGCTACTCATCGTTAGATTCTGAACTGTTCAGTTCATTTAACGGAAACCCAAAATCTAATTCTTATAGATTTACAGATGTAACCTGCATGGTACAAGAGAGGAAAAGGGGGAAAAAGTGCTGACTCACGTTACTTTTGAAGCGCTTGTTAAGTCTGCTGGTTAAGTCCGAATGTGTCCGTTCCTTGATTATTTATATTCCTTTAGTCTTTAAGGGTCCACTGATCAAAAGAATCGAAACAGCTTTTCATAAAAATGTATCCAAATTGTGAATACTGTCATGTGAAGTCCATCACTCTCTGTCTGCTAACTTCTCTCATCCAGAACCCTGTTGTTGTTTTCGTTAGGTTGCTGCCTTCAAAATAAAAGCGTATAAGCTGTCTGTCGGAGCTAGATCATAATTCTGTTTGACATAAATAAACTGTTTCATAGTAGTTTCAGTTTTGTGCAAAAGGAATTAAAGGCCTGTCCCAAATAAAGGCAGGGTCAATTCAGTGATTTTAGCAAATAAAAACCCGGGTCATTATTCAAAGTTTTACGGCAATATTAACTGGGGTGGTAATGGAGCAGTGGGTAAGACACATGCTTTGGTTGGAGAGACCCAGGTTCACTGTGACACATCCACCATTGTTTCTGAGCAAGACACTTAACCCCTAGTTGCTCAAGAGGCGTGCGACCACTGACATGCTTAGCAATTGTAAGTCACTTTGGATAAAAGCATCAGCTAAATGAATAAATGTAATTTAAATAATGATGTAACGCTGAAAGGGGACATTTTCTGAGTCATTTTACTGTTGATATTTTAACTACATTTTTTCAATTAATGCTGTACTGTAGGGGAGAGCGGGGTGAGTTGAGCCAGTTTTTACTTGAGGTGTCTTTAAACTGAGGACATGACAGTAAGGTCTCCAACCAAAATATGTGCATATATTTTAGGATGGGGTGCATCCCTGGGAATGATCAATTTGAATCTAAAATAATTATTCTAAAAAAAAGTGGACTCTTGGCTCAATATGAGGGGTAAGTTGAGCCAAGGGAGAGGATAAGTTGAGCCACATGGGGGTCGGGGGACGTCAACATCATTTTATCGTGCAAACTCAAACGCCAGGTCCAAACATTCAATTGCACTTAGATAGTGAAACATTGCAGCTATGTCTCCTCTCCTAGTTGTTTCATTTCAATGTATCGCTTTAAAGTCATCCTGTTGATCATCATGTCCCGTGCCACCTGATGAATGGACTTCCCATTCTGTACCTCTCCCACTACTCTGTCCAAACCCACAATAGGAGTTGAAGCCAGTCTGTTTTCCATTAATGGGAGCATGAGATGATGGTTTCTGGTCTAAAATGCATAATGTCACATCATTTCGGTGATGCATAAGAATTCAATGTAAAATTACAATAAAATAGTTGGCTCGACGAGGTCTTTTGGCTCAGATTACCCCATCCCTGCCATTTTAACAAACTTGTGTCATCTAGCAGTTTAGAGTTAACGTCATGCTAACAGTATAGCCTCATATTGTAACTTCCTTAAGCACTAACACATGCATAAGATTTTCTCAAACCTGTCTGTAATTGTTCACAAGAATCAGGACTCCTAGAATATATAAAAATCACTTTGAAGGGCAAAAAACAGTTTTTTGATCTTAAATGTGCTTATCACTTATTCCATGGGCCTCTCTTCATCACAGGGAGAGTGTTTCTATTCAAGAATGTGTTGTCACATGACCAATTTTGTCTATGGCTGCCAAGAAACAAGGGGTGGCTCAACTTCCCCACAGGCTCAAATCACCCCGCTCTCCCCTATACGACTGATATTTTGTAAGCCTCAGCTCACCATCTTCATCTGTTGGACGCTGTCTATCACAGTGCCCTGAGATTCATAACCGGCTGTAAACCCTTCACACACACCATTGTACTCTGTATTCTTTAGTCAACTGGTCATCATTATCCATATGCAGAACTTTGCACTGGTATAATTTCATTTATAAATCCATCCTTTGACTGCTGCCCCTTACTTTTCCATTTACATGTCACGTAAACAGTGCTGATAGCTTATGCTCCCAGGGCTTCTTCTCTCACTCCATCCCCTCGGTCCTTACAGAATTTGGTAAAGAGGCCTTCTCCTACTCTGCCCCCTGGAACATGCTACAGCAGGAACTGAAGCTGTCCAGCATGATTTCCCTAGGGTATTTTAAACTATTTTTAAGAAGTGTCTGTGCTTTTGTACATAGTTTTTAAAATCTGATAACCCCTTATCACTTTTTTGATTTGTGTTCTATTTTATCTATGTTTTTAATTTCTGGTCTGTCTGTAATTTTGTGTTGAATTGCTGCTGTTGTCCCAGGTCTCTCATGAGAATGAGACCCCAGTGTCTCAGTGAGATTACCTGTCTAAATAAGTAGCCTACAAGTATGACTTTGCATGTACTTGACTTGTAATGTAATATTTTTACAATGTGGAATAGCTGATCTTACCAAAAAGTCTCGGTACAACTTCACTTTTACCACTGATAAAAACAGATTTCAGGTGCACTGAAATCCATGAGCCAGCGAGCATTTAGTAATTGACAAGTGTCACTTTATCGCCATCATGTGGCGGTAAGGTTACATTACACAATATGAAGCAAACATGGCGGGGTTCTTTATTTTGCCTGAAATGTAACCTTCGGTGGGTTACATAGGCTATGTTAAATCTGTGTGACGTCTCAAAAGCCACATCTGATGCACAGGATCACAGCACTGATGCGTACCTTCCCAGATATAAGAGCCTCTGACTTTTTTGACGAACTTGAACCACAGAGTGTCTTTGAAGGGCTCTGCCAGCTGCACGTCGCCGATCCACAGACACGGTTCATGCGGTGACTGGAGCTTCTGCGAGGCTTTCATCTGAACCGCGGCGCACGGGTCCCACTGGCCCATTTCCGCACGCGAACCCAAAACAAAGACGTCTACATCCGAGGACTCCGGAGTGAGGATGACACCAAATCTGAATAACATTGTTGCAGCCATGACTAAACGACGTGTCCTCAATCGTTTAGTTTAGAGGGCTTTTGTTATTTTGGCCTGTATTGTAGCTATTGTAGGACTAAGTCCGTGTGGCCCATAGACTGTATGGTATAGTCTAAAAATAATCGGATCGGTGTTTTGGATGGTGTAGTGTGCAGCAAAGAGGGGGTAGAAACAATGAGGTCCCACTCTGTCAGAAATACCGGGCACAACCCAATCAGAGTGGGCTCTACACTGGTGTAAAATAAAGATTTAGTAGGATTTCCTGGAGTAGGCCACTACTAGAGTAGGCCTATTTCAATCTTCCGCTACGGTTAAGCTGACCACATTTCTGAAATGAAAACCGGGCGCATCATTGGTTATTATATCTGAAAAAAAAAGGAGGATAATTTCGGTTTTCAATCAATATAGCACTTCTGAATGTAATCAAGTCACAGGCTGCAGTTACTTTCTGGCAAGTAGAATACTGCATCTTATGTTCTAATTGGCAATTTAAAAGTTATTTTAAGAGATAAAAAGTACTAGTTGAGTTATAATCAGTCAAATATAATTTCTGAATGAAATCAAGTCATTTTGAGGCAGAATCTACCTTTCAGTTTTAGTAGAAGCTGCACTTTTTGGCAAGTGAAATACTGCATTACATGGGTTGTATTGGCTATTTAAAATAATAATATAATAATAATTTGTAGAGCACTTTTCAAAAACAAGTCACAAAGTGCTTTAACAAGTGTAAAGACAATAATACCCAAAAAACAATAATACAAAAACAAAGCAAGAAAACATTGAAAAGACTAAAATACACGTTTAAGATAAATATAAAATTAGTAAAATAAAATAAAAGGGATAAAATAAAGTCAAATAAGATCGGGAAAGGCTCTCCTATAAAAGTATGTTTTAAGAAGGGACTTAAAAGAGTTCACTGACTCAGCTGACCTGATTTCCTCGGGCAGGCCTTGGGGCCCTGACAGCAAACGCTCTGTCCCCTTTAGTTTTCAGTCGAGACTCTGGAACAGACAACAGACAAAAAGGAATTTCAACAGGTAAAAAGAACTAGATTGGTTGGTACACAGCAAGTTAAATAATATAGTCAGAAGGATAATTGCAAAAGACATCATGTCTTTATTTTATATAACTCAGCAGTTGGCTTAAGTCATGTTAATTATAGGCTACATTACGTTTTCCAAATATAGACATAATACAAACACATATTCCATTGGCAACAACAGGATTCTACTGTTGCATATAATCACGTAGCCGAAATGTCATACCTAGTAACGCTATAAACTGCAAACACTTAGGCCTATTTGGCCACAGTTGTCGTTATTCTGCTAAAAGAAGTATCACAAAGACATATACCTTTGCTTTTACCACGCGTATAAAGTGATGTTTAGTTGCACATTATGTCTGTTTGATCCAGATAAAAGCAGCTGTAGCCGTAAAGATACTGGCCGATACAGCTTTGACATGCTGCGCGCGCACCTGCGGACAGCAATCAGTTTTCGGCGGACGATCACTTTTCAGCTGACATCTGTATGCTCTGCTGTCCAGTCTATCTATTTCAGGTCTGTTAACACCTTTTACAGTCTATGATTAACACACAGTTAAAAACGGGGACAGCTCCAGACGGGGACAGGCCACCAAAACCAGGGTCACCCTAGCTACAGTACACGCGTTAAGGACCATGCACCATAGACAACGCGCACGCCGGTGCGCACACACGTTCGAGAGTTGACGAACATGCTAGTGATAACCTGGCGACACACAAACATTCGTTCATTTGTGTTCCATAACGCACTGCTTTACCTGTGTTGATGTGAGAGGGATCAACAGGTGCGCACAGCTGTTGTGTTCAAAGTGGCTGGTTGACATGTACAGCAAGCAGGAGGAGTTCAGTGAACTCTACACGTGTATTTTAGAGTCAGTCTAACACTGAATATTTAGGATAGCAGCAAAAAAAAAAACCCAACCAAAAAAAAGTAGCCACCACAGCCAACTACAACAGTAAATGCTGTTACATTGATGAAAAATTGTAACACTGATTAATACTGCAAACTCCAACTTACTACTAGTAGGCTAGTATGATTTACACTACTACCATCAGGTGATATTGTTTCGTAGATTTGGGGCTTGGTGTATCAGAATGTCAGAATCAGCTTTCTTGCCAGGTATGTGTACACATATGAGGAATTTGACTCTGGATTGTACATTACTCAAGATGTGCTTACTCATACAAAAATACAAAATCACAATAATAAGAATAAAATAAAGTCAGACACAGACTTCAGTGTAGACAACACAAATATACACACTATGAACAAAAACAATATCGACAAATAGTGCAGTGTACTGGGAAAAACTCGAATTGCCATCACAGCAGTGAGCGCGTGCAAAGGATGCAGGAGTATGTACATGTCAGCGGTGGATGTGATATACAGGTACATATACATGCATACATGTACACATGTACACAGTGGAATGAAGCATAACACAAAGGATGCTGGAATAAATAAGTGTAAGTATTTTGTGCAGGAGTTATGACTTGAGGTAGGTGGATTAGGTTCACAGTATCTACAATATGACAACATAACAGTATGAACAGCATTGAAATAGAGAATGGTGAATAAATAGTAAGTGTTAGCCAGTAAACAGGTGGCTGATTAGAGACAGAGTTACTGGGTTATTGCACAAGAATTGTTCCTGACACAGAAATCAGCTGTTCATCAGAGTGATGGCTTGTGGGAAGAAACTGTTCCTAAGTCTGTTGGTTTTGGCGTACAGTGCTCTGTAGCGCCTACCAGAGGAAAGAAGCTGGAACAGATTGTGTCCGGGGTGAGATGGATCTGCAGTGATGTTTCCTGCCCGTTTCCTGACTCTGGAAATGTATAAGTCCTGAATGGAGGGCAGGTTTGCACTGATGATCTTTTCTGCAGTCCTGACTGTCCGTTGTAGTCTGTCCCTGTCCTTTTTGGTGGCAGATCCAAACCAGACAGTGATGGACGTGCAGAGGACAGACTGGATGATAGGTGTGTAAAAGTGGATCAGCAGGTCCTTAGGCAGGTTGAGCTTCCTGAGCTGGCACAGGAAGTACACCCTCTGCTGGGCCTTCTTGATGATGGTGTTGGGCTCTCACCTCAGGTACTGGGAAATAGTGGATCCCAGAAACCTGAAGGATTCCACAGCAGACACAGGGCTGTTGAGTATGGTGATGGGGGGCAGAGTGGGGGGGCTCCTCCTGAAGTCCACGATCATCTCCACAGTTTTGAGCATGTTAAGCTCCAGGTTGTTCTGACCACACCAGAGAGCCAGCTGATCAACCTCCCGTCTGTAGGCCGAATCGTCACCGTCCCGGATGAGGACAATGTCCGTTGTGTTGTCAGCGAACTTCAGGAGTTTGACAGATGGGTCTCCTGAGGTGCAGTCATTGGTGTAGAGGGAGAAGAGCAGGGGGGAGAGCACACACCCCTGGGGGGCGCCAGTACTGATAGTCCGGGTGCTGGATGTGATGTTCCGCAGCCTCACCTGCTGACTCCTGTCAGTCAGGAAGTTTGTGATCTGCTGACAGGTGGAGGCTGGCACAGTGAGCTGGGTGAGTTTGGTGCTGAGGATGTCTGGGATGATGGTGAACGCCGAGCTGAAATCCACGAACAGGATCCTTTCATATGTCCCTGGAGAGTCGAGGTGTTGCAGGATGTGATGCTGTCACAAGTTGACTGCATCATCCACTGACCTGTTAGCCCTGTAGGCAAACTGCAGGGGGTCCAAAAAGGGGCCTGTAATGTCCTTCAGGTGGGCCAACACCAGTCTTTCGAAGGACTTCATGACTACAGATGTCAGGGCGACAGGCCTGTAGTCATTTAGTTGGAAGAGGTGGCTCACGATCTCTTCACGGATCTTGAGTGCAGATGAGGTGTCAGAGAGGGGGGTGGCAGTGTGTCAGAGATGGAAGGTGACTATTTGAAGATGGTGTTGGAGCGGGGGAGAGGTGTGACTGTGGGCTTTTCAAACCTGAATGTCACTTCAAACTGATTTTTGGGGAGTCTCGAGGACAGAACATAAAAAGAAATCCAATTTAACCCAGTTAAAATCCTCAAAATGTAACCTTTGTGCTTCATGTCAAGTCACAGTTGTTGAGATTAAGAAGTCACGTAATAAAACTGTAGAGGTTGCTCATCTGAACAACTAAAAACCAGAGTAATTAAGCTACAGCTAGCCTAATCATCTGCTTTTTTGGGGGGGTAGGTACCCAGGGGAACCTGAAGCAGTAAATTAGGCTGACACAGCATTTAGCTTTTAGTCAAAATTTTAAAAGTGAATTGAAAATGTGCATGTGTCATAGTCAGCCTACTTTATGTGTGTGTTCATAAACACCAAACTTGCCACATCATTGATGCAAAGCTGACTGTCCAGATTTTAGGAAAGTCTCCTAATGTTTGGGTGCCCCTTGGTGGTCAAACGAGGTTTGAACAGCAGGAGTGAGCCAATGGGCTCACAAGAGTGGTAGTCAAACTAAATTATGAAAGAAGCCTCATATGACTTTGACTTTAATAAAAGTCCATCTTCACTCTAAAATGTGGTTGCTTATCTTTGCTTCTCTTGGATGTTTGACCTTCACTGTGCAGAATGATATAATGTATGTCTTCAATCAATAGCCCAGGTTTTTATTTGCTTAAATCGCCTTACTCACACTGCCTATATTTGGCACTGGCCTTTAATTCCTTTACCATGCCAGTAAATCAGAATGAATTATACTTTGATGCTCATTGTTTCCGTAAAATGAACTGAACATTTATACTGGTATGCATGATCTAAGGAGCTTAGAACTAGCTCAAGCAGGTGACCAGGTGGGCTTCAAGAGGTTTTATACATCCAGAGAACTTCTATAAAAACAACAGACCAGGCGTCTAATTGAAACCTGCCTTTATTTGTCAAAATGTGTAGCCACACCTGGCCAGTAAAAGGGACAGGCATCCACTTGGGACTAGGCCTTTATTTACACAAGATTGCGTAATCTGTACTCTGCGCATGCGTTGGCGTCTGTAGCTACCTGTCGGAAGCTCCGTCTTAAACCGGACTCTTATCCAGTTTTAATCCACACTTTTTCATGAAATTTTTTTATATCCTTTTTATTTAACTTAAGTTTTTAACTTAAGTTTTATGTGGGTTAAGGATTTTAGTCATCTGACATGGATTTTAAGCAAGATGACCGTAAAAACGGCATCAACGCTACTGACCACAACAAAGCTCTGGCGACTAACGTTACGCTAGCCGAGATAACTCTGCCCCATGAGGACTGCACACTCCTTAAGAAAGCGAACAAGAAGATTGCTGACCTTATGGAAGACATCCGACGACTTTCAGAGGAACTCAAAGAGAAAGATTCCCTGCTGACTGGCTTTATGGATGTAGCTTCAGTACAAGCCAAACAGATTGTTTCTCTTAGCGCAACCGCTAACATCCAGGACACCTTGTTATGGGACCCCTCTACTTTTCCGAGGCTTTCCTCCTGCTCGACTCCGAAGCATCAGTCAAACTGGGCTGAAGTGGTGACTGTGGCTGCAAGAGAGGCTCGGATGGGGCTGCCTGTCCTCCGCACATCGGCCTCTCCAACCGCTATGCAGCCTTGTCTAACAACACTCCGGTCCATCCAGCGGATGCACCTGCGGCTTCGAGTCTCCCTGATACGGATCCCTTCGGCGGACAGTGCCGGCCGACACTGTTGCATCTCCTCCACCGGCAACAACTCCTGCACTGGCGGCAAACGGTGATCAGCTGGGCCGCTTCCCGACGTAGGATCCTGAAGGAGGCTGTGCTCAGACGCTCCGGAGGCCGTCTCTACCCTGCACCGTCGAGTAGCCCTTCTCTCATGTCTGTTACTGCTACTCTAACACAACACTCGGCAGCTCACACACTCCATCCTCAGTCCGGTGGGGATCTCTGGTACTGCCCTAGAATTGTTTTCATCCTACCTGTCAAATAGGAAGTTTTGCGTGTCTGTAAAAAACTATGTCTCCTCATTCTGTCCAGTTAAATATGGTGTGCTGGTGCTGCCAGGCTTTTAACCAGAACAAAGAAATATGACCACATCACCCCTATTTTAGCTTCATTACACTGGCTCCCAGTGTGTTTTAGAACTGACTTTAAAATTTTATTGATCACTTTTAAAGCTCTTCATGGCCTCTCGCCTTGTTATATTTCTGAACTTTTAGTCCCATACGCACCAGCACGCACCTTGAGATCCTCGGGCAGAGGTCTGTTGTCTGTTCCAGAGTCTCGACTGAAAACTAAAGGGGACAGAGCGTTTGCTGTCAGGGCCCCGAGGCTCTGGAACAGCCTGCCTGAGGAGATCAGGTCGGCTGAGTCAGTGAACTCTTTTAAGTCCCTTCTTAAAACATACTTTTATAGAGAGAGCCTTTCCCGATCTTATTTGACTTTATTTTATCCCTTTTATTTTATTTTACTAATTTTATATTTATCTTAAACGTGTATTTTAGTCTTTTCAATGTTTTCATGCTTTTATCTTGTATTGTTTTTGTATTATTGTTTTTTGGGTATTATTATCTTTACACTTGTTAAAGCACTTTGTAACTTGTTTTTGTGCTCTACAAATAAAGATTATTATTATTATTATTTATTTGAAGTTTTATGGTATGTGCAGAGTTTCACACTAACATTATTTTCACATTCATCTGCTGAAGGGGGAAAGTTTCTCTGCGCTAATAAGAAGTATACATATGAGCTTCATTTTGTGATATCACAACTATTTGGAATTTGGAAGATAATCATAGTCCATGTCCTCCTGCATCATATGTGTTTACTATCTAAAATGTTGTCATCTTGATTGTCCATACTCTAATTGTACTATGTTTTCTGTTCTTTACACACAACATGCATTGCATGTCTCTCCCTCCTGTGAGAGGGATCTCTCCTCTGTTGCCATTCATGACATTTTCCCCATTTTTTCCCGGTTAAAGTTTTTTTTATTTATTGGGGGGGTGATATTCCCTATTTGAAACAAAGGTCTAAAGAGAGAGGGTGTAATTTGCTATATAGACTGTAAAGCCCCTTGAGGTTAATTTGTGATTTGTGCTAATAAACTATATAAAAATACAATGTTTACACAGTTTTCAATGTCAAGTTATGCCGCAGTGAAAGGAAATGAATGGATAAAACAGATTCCAGATTTGCCACTGTTCCAAGTCTTTGATTAATTATCAGGTTTGTTTAAACTTAAAGTTTTCCATTTTCAAAACTATTCACTGCACCCATGTCTGAATATCTCATTCATACATCAGTCTTCATTGTCTGAGGGATAACAGTACTCCACTACTGCCTTCACAAAGCTAGTAAACAAAATAATTAGATTTTCAATGAGTATTCAATTCATTTCAGCCATTTAATTCATTTCAGCCATGTGTAGGCTGATCCTACTCAAACACATTCTATGGGACTCCACAAGTGCAGTGCATTCTCACAGCAGGGTGGGACATATCTGTGTGCTCCTACTGTATAATCTAGATGCTCTGTAAACATACAAATGATTCTACAACATTCCATAATGCAATATGAATACTGTTACTGATTTGCTGTACTAACTTAGTTAGTGAAATGCTTGTATGGCCTGTATGGGTTTACAGTATGTAGAACAAGCACAAACCAGCAGTCTCATGAAGAGATTTGTCATCATACACCTTGGCGGGCAATCTATCCATTCTCTTAAATTCACAGAGAAATACATTTTCATTCTGTATTAGAAGAAAAGATGGACAAAAGAAGTGTACAAGACATCAAGAGGGAGCACAGATTTAGGCAATAAATTAAGTAAAAGAATAAATTAAGACAATATGAAGAGGTCAGGTCAAATGAGTGTCCAATGTAAATAGACCTGGAAATATTTAAGGACTTTACACTGCTATACAAGTTAACTCTAAATTAAAACCTACCTCTTCTTTCTTACTGTGATAGGGAAGGCAACAGGGGTTTAGCACTAGGACACAGGTAAAGGGGCAGAGTCTATAAATAGGGAAGGGAAGATCACCTGGTCCTTTCTTTCTGCAGTCACACACCTGAGGGAGCAGCTGAGGCCAGCCTTTGTTTGGTTCTTGATTGGGTAGGCTCTATTTTTAAATAGGTTTTACTTTTAAAAATGTGTAAAAATCTAAGGCTAATAATACATTTCTAGAACTAGATCTTAGAATAATTTGTAGTTTATTTTATTAAAGAGAAGTTGAAGAATTGTTAAAAAACCTGTTATTTATTAGACTTCGTGGTGGTGAGGGTCCAAAGCTTGGAGTGATTGTCCAAACACATCAGCTAAAGCACAGGTATGTGTAGGATGGTTTTAAACAAGATTTTAGCCTTTTTATATGAATGTAACAGGAATATTTGAAAATATAGATCCCAGTCACCTGCATGCCTTCAACGGCGGGAGGGGAATGTGTTTCTAAGTCAAACAAGGTATGATAATTGTTACATTTGCTTATGTTTCATGGAATGTTTCTTTTAAAGTGTTTTTGTATCTTACTGTGTTTTTGTTTGTCTTGTTTCAAATAGAAGTTATGAGAGAGCCAACCACTGTTTTTACCCACCGGTTAGTTTTATTGTGCTCACACTAGATCCTTGAATGGGCCATATTTTGTGTTTCTGGCTGTGTTAAAAGGGGGAAACTGAAAGACAGAGTAACCATTTTGCATGGGTGTTTTGTGTAATTAGTGTGTAGCATGCAGATAGTGTTTTTCCATAGTATTTGGTTTAATTGGTTTGAGTGTGTGGGTTATTTCCTTATTTGTTTATCAGTTTGGTTATAATTTGTCGGTGCTCAATTCTACATCAGTTTCCCTGGTAACGCAGTCTAGTCCTGAATTGTGTTTTTCTTTTGTTTTGATGTAACAAATAAACTTTATATTCCTATACTGATATAGTAGCCTCTGGTCCAGTTTGTTCTGGCACTTGTGTATGAAGCAGCGTGTGGTTTACATTACCTTCATTTCCTTCTGCAGAGAGCTTCCCTCTTCCAGGAATGACTTCACCATCTCCTCTGTGACTTTAAAAATTGGAGGAAGCTCTGAGCAGTGCTTGATCCCACTGGGGTTGATTGCATTCAGAAACTTGGACCTATAAAAGTCATCTTCCTTCCAGTGCTCTGTAACATGTGGTCTGACACATTACACAGTCATATGATACGTTAGTACAGCGATTCAGTCACCTTTCATGTTGTAACTGTCCTTTAGCACTCTGTAAACTACTGAAAAGATATCTAAACTTTTAGTGAACCAACTTGTAGCATGTAAGTATTTAGTTTATTTCAATGTTAATTTAATTTTACTGTAAAGTATTTCCATTGATTTGGATAGGGAAGCAGATTTCAGCTGGGAACTTTTGTTTGAAATGACTGATGTGTATGAGTTGTAGCCATTGACCACTTACTGGGACATGCTCTTCTTAAGGAGCAGCCAAAGCAAATGCAGCACTTGCTGATGTTGAACCCTGTGAACAGATCAGAATCCACTTTTATTGCCAAGTGTACACATACGAGTAATTTGACTCTGGATTGTACAGATATAACTCTTTTAAACACATATGAATAATGGTCAACTGTTGCATTCAACTTATCATCCTAGATTTAAAATAGACTCTAAAGTTGTTCAACTCAGTTCACTCTCTCCCTCCAGTTCCAAATAAGGTGATGTGTATGTGGTCAAATTTTCCTGCATTCATCATGTTACATGTTGTCACTTCTAGCTTGTACTCAGCCCTGGTCATTGAGTAGCAGTTCTGTGATGATTTGGGGGAAAAAAGGAAATATCTAAAAGTTGATGGCAAATGTTATTTTTTCCAAGCTAAATACATGCACCACATTTCTTTCTGTTACATCTAGCTGTGAAGCTACACAGAGTCTCAGGGTCTGGACCCAAATGCAGACACGGAGAACGAAACAGATGCAGTTGGTAAGATTTATGGGTGAAACTTACAAGTGTAGTGATTGTGGCAGTCCAAATATACACACAGAGAGCAGCAACTGAAAAAGAGTGGAATCTGTGAAAGGTAAAGTCCGAAACATGAAACAGTTAATACAAAATGTGGAAAAGCACGAGAGACATGGATGTGACAAACAATGACCCAGCCCTGAGTGGAGGAAGCAAACCACTTAAATACAGGTGAGTGAGAAAATAATCATTGTTACATTCTCCCCCCTTGCTGGTCATGATGTACAAGATGATGGTGACTCTGTGTCTGTTTTTTCCCCTCAGGTGTTTTAGGTCTGGGTGACGAGGGGAGAAACTCATAAGAGGGGGCTGGGTGCTCGGCTCTCTCTTGTCCACCTTCCAGCCATGGCATCAGCAGACCACAGAGATTGCGACTGATTTGTATTCCTTTGATTATTGTTCTTTTCTTATATTTCTGATGGGACTGGTAGTTTAGTTTTTGCGGCTTTATTTCTGTTTGTTTAGTTAAGGATTATTTTAGGGTAGAGGGGAAGCCTCCAGATCCTACGGCCCTTTGTGGGCTGGTCTGGAGGGCTTCCCTTTCTTTTGTTGTTTTTGTTTGTATTAAGTTTTGAACTTCTTTCAATAAACTTATGTTTGTTTGTTTTTTTTTGCATAACTCCTGGACTCTTTGATTATGTTCGACCTCCATTGTGAGCTTTGGTGGGGGTCGTAACATAACTCGGGGGCTCGTCCAAACTAATTGTAAACTTGGTAAAGTTTTCAATGGGGTCTTTGAGATCTAGATTTGGGGGTTTTGGTGGCCTATCTAGGTGTGTTGATTTGTTTGAAGCCTTTTGCACTATGTATTGCCCTTTAGTGTGTTGGGTAATTTTGTGGCCATAGTTGGCTTTTTGGTGAAATGGATCTTGTGCTGTATTATGGGTGCAGTAATTTGTGAGTCAGGAGGTTTTGCAGTTGTGTTGAAGCTGCTTGATTTTTGTACTGTAGTCTCAGTTTTGTTGTTCTCTTAAGATAGTTTAAATTGGTGGAGTTTGAGTGTCCTACTCTAGAGGTGTTTAATTTGTGTACTAAGGAAAATCTGCTGTTAGGAAGTAAAACAAGACACTGAAGGCAGGTATCTACAAACTAAAACAGTAAACACTCAAAACACACACCGCACCAGAACCGTGACACTTTCGGCTTTATTTGGCTCTTGCTTTTCTCAGTATTGCTCCATTTTGTCTCCACATCTCATGCTCCTCCCACTTTGTTTAACAATAACAGATCATTTAGTTATGATTTGTAAAAACTATTAGAAAATGTTGAATTAAGTCACTTCACTGGAACTTTCACAATACATTTGCAAATTCACACAACTTCCATATATAAATCATACCCATATACAGTGGGTACGGAAAGTATTCAGACCCCTTTAAATTTTTCACTCTTTGTTTCATTGCAGCCATTTTCCAAAAATCAAAAAAGTTCATTTTATTTCTCAGTAATGTACACTCAGCACCCCATCTTGACAGAAAAAAACAGAAATGGAGAAATTTTTGCAAATTTATTAAAAAAGAAAAACTGAAATATCACATGGTCATTTTTTCTGTCAAGATGGGGTGCTGAGTGTACATTACTGAGAAATAAAATGAACTTTTTTGATTTTGGAAAAATGGCTGCAATGAAACGAAGAGTGAAAAATTTAAAGGGGTCTGAATACTTTCCGTACCGCGTGTGTGTGTATATATGCATGTATCTGACACACGTGTGAATTAGTCTGACTTGTTTTATATAGCATTAGCAGAGAGAAATGAGGGAGAGATGGGCAACAGCGGTGCGCAGTGATATTAGAACCAGGGACATTGAGGTTCATGATCAGCAGCTTATTCTCTAAGCCACATTCCCATCAGCCTCCGCTGTACTTTGTCTTTAGTGCTAACAAATGTTAGCATGCTAACACCCTGTGGGGAAAAAGTTTCAAGTTGAAACATCTGAACCTAAAAGCAGAATTCTTTGGAACAGTGGATGGATTCAGTCTGAGTTTACCACCATTTCAAACAGGCAACTTGAGCTGGTAGAGCGCATAAATCACTCAACATGTTTGCTCAGCCAAAGAAATGTCCTATAAAGCTTTCCACAGAAGTCAGAACTCTTCAGTAAGGGTTTGCAGGTGAGTAGTTCATCAGGTCTGTCACTCTGACTTACAAAAGAAACAACACAATATATTGCTACGTTTCAGATACATGAAGTGGTGAAAGAATGAAAAGGTTTGACCATTGATGCTTTTCAGAAAAATTAAACAATACAAACAGTACATCATATGCAGTGTGTAGCAGGTAGGTGGATTATAAATGAAATGAAGTAAAGTGACATTCTCAGATTCAAGACGCGGGTGGCCTGAGGGAAGAAACTCTTCATCCTCTGTTTTTGCCTTGAGGCAGCAGTAGCACTTCCATGACTGTAGCAGAGAGAAGTCTATTGCTGGGTGATTGAGGTCTTTCCTCATCGTCTCAGCCCTCACTGACATTCACAAATAAAGAGGCCGCCTCTTTGACAGAGATCAAAGAAGTTTAACAAAGACTACACAAACTGTTGATGTGTCACAACTATGGACTTCAGATACTACTCGGCATAATATCACAGATTCCAATTAGAAAGCAGTATACTAAATAAGAACTTCCTATTATACAGTTTGCCAAACATTAGGGGTGTGGAAGGAATTGATTTTTAGATGCATTGTGATGCGGACTTGGACGATTCTGAACTGATTCACAAATATCAATAATCGATTATCTAGAGGTTAATTGATAACGTAATGTTGACGGAACAAAGAAGGCGGGACTCGGAAAGCGGAAGTGCAGCTCCAGGTCTGTGGTGTGCACACAACGGAAACGTGTGGTTCTTTAGGCACAGAGAGGCAGTTGTTGATTGACTGCTGCTACTAAACTTTCACACGATCAATAAAATCAATGTGCAACTAATGTTAATATTCATCCGCACGCTGTGCAGCACGGTCAGGGCCGGCCTTGACAGTGTTGGAGCCCTAGGAGAGATTCAAGTGAAATTGCCCCCCTATGCCCAATCCTAAAAAGTCCACCACAGCCAAGCCAAACTCAAAATTTTAGCATAGATGAACAGCCAAGTTAATAATGATGGTCCAAAATGAAGTGTGATCAGCCTCCACATAACCTTGTCAACCTCCACGTCATAGCCTAAATTGGGAGACCAAACCTGATTTGGGAATATGTCCCCCCATAAACTTTAGGTCAAGCCAGACACTATTTTCTTGCATTGAAGTAAATTTATGGATAATTTTCCTGAAATGCAAGAGCACTGGTTTAGTTTTAACAGCGGAGGAGACAAATGAAGAGGGTCTGGGGGTCCTCACCCAGGAAATTTTTAGTATTAAAAGACTTAATTTCCTGCATTCTGGTGATAATTTCTGCACCAATTTTTTTTTAAAAATCTATAAAAGGGAAGCATTCAGGTGGTAGGTGACAATTCAGAATGAATATATGAAAAATTATATATAATAAATAAAATGCAGTAAGGCTTTCAGGCATTCTGTAGCTATTCCTTTAAAATGTTTTCTCCTGTAGATAATCTTTACTAATATAAAATCCCTGCTTAACTTTCCCTCCTCTTGAGCCTCTGTTTGGGGAAATAACTAAAAGGGGAACATCACTTTTTGGTATTGCACTTCCACAAACTTGTGATATTAAACAAGACTAAGAATCGGCAGGCATGTTAGCAGCTCTCAGAATGTACTCCAGAGCAATGGTTTGAAATAATTGCTGACCTCATCAGGTTAACATCTCAAAGGAAATACTTTTGTCTGCATTTTATCATGTTCACCATCTTAGCATACTAACATTTAACCTAACAACAAAGTACAGCTGAAGCAGATAAGAATGTAACTGGTTTTGTAGGTATTTGGTCATTAAGCATTGGACAAATAAAATTTGACTAGAGGAAAAGTTGGGGAATCAAAGTCAGGAAGGGTATCAGGCCTGTAAAGGTCTGTACAAACTTGCATGGCAATCATCCATCTAATACTGGTTGAGCTATCAGAGTAGTCAGTCATGTCACCCCCCGGAAAGAGAGAAATAGTTTGACATTTTTAGAATGTATTCTACTCCATTACCTTTATTTGCAGCATTAAGATCGGTAGTTGTGAATGTAGGCTTACCGGTTGCTCATGTTAGCGGGACAGTGGCGTCCCCCCCAGCTATTCCTTGAAGTCTACTTTCAAATTTTCATTTTCAACTGATCAAAAATAAATCAAATGTAAGAGGTAAATTTACCTTGAGACAATTATTGCATATTTCTTCCCCTCTATGAGAAGACAAACGGCTGTTGATTCTCAGCAAAACTAAAAGTTTACCTGCCCACCGCAGCATGGTGAACTGATGATGTGAAGATCACCATAGTGACAAACTTGGTAAGTTCCTCCACAGTTTGAAAGCTTGAAGGGATGCCTGTCGGGAATGTTCTTGTTAAGATAGATTTACTACAATAGAGCAAATTCTTGAAATAATTTAACCCCCTTTTGTACAATTTTTATCTAAGTGTAAGACTTGTATTTTTCTCCCCACCCTTCACATAGTGCCGTCCATTTTCTTTCCTTCCCTGCCCATAGGTGTGAATTTAAGTGAAAATGTGTTAAAATGCTTTAACCCTGTGATACAATGACAGCCCAGCCAATGTGTACTTCTCCTGCAAGCCTGATTAAGATTTAAAAAAATAACAAACAAAATTAAACCAATAGCTGCCTAGTTAGCAGTCAAAGCATATAGCCTACATGATTTGTGGTAAATGGGCCAATATGTGAAATAGTCCTTTAATACCCTCTCTACATAATTAAAGATAAAATTTTATAGCTAAAAATAGAGGGTGAATTATAGTTCAAGTGAGACCTCTCCTAGAAAACGGGGATTCCTGCGGGACAACATATCTAGGTCTTATCTAAGTATTTTGGAGGAGGAGAATAGAACAGACCAATCATTACACGTGATATACCCGAGTCATTATTTCCCAGAAATCCATAGATCTCATTGACCCATTCCTGGAGCTCAGAATCTGCAGAAACTTCACTGTCACAAGGATAATAATATCCCACCATTGCCGTGACAAAGCTGAGGACAACAAAAGGAGTACCTGTATCAGAACGTTGAATATATTTATAAGTTGAATTATGATTTACAATACAAAAGAAATTGTAATGCTCATCTAGTTTTTTTGTTCCCAATTAATTTTTCAAAATGTGCCATATATTCAATCTTCAGTTCCAACAAGTTGGGGGTTGACAGCCAGTAGGCAGAAGTTTACCTGTTGATGATGCGCCACAGCCTCAGGGCATCATCCCTGTAAAAAGTTGGGGATGGACTCCAGTCCTCTAGCTGCAATGTTTTCAGGCAGGCAGAGGGAACTGTAGGTTGTTTGGGAGAGACTCCTTCTCATTAGCTCCGCTATTCCATCCAGTCCAAGTGAAGTCTGAGTAACAGACATAGTATACAGACAGTATAAAATACAGCAATATTCCCCCTCTCCCCAATGTTCCAAAATGTTCAAACTACATACACATTGAATCAAATGACATAATATATATTATATTATGTTACTGGTCAGGACCATCATAATATTTAATAATTTATCTTGTCATACATTTCCAAAAATTCCAATAGGGCCATGGAGTTGAGCACTGATGTTTATAGAGATGGTCTCTCGATGATGGGGGATCAGCAGCTATGAAGCAGGGAAAGAGGGGACACTGGTGACAGTCATGAACTAAATAACAAAGCTGAGTGATCATTTAACAAAACAAAAAAATAAATTAATGCAAAAACAGCTTACCTTGTACCCCCTGTACAAGGTAAGCTGTTTTTGCATTAATTTATTGGTGAATCTTTGGGAGGTTGCGTAGTGTCGCCATTGTAAAAACTTCTGCCAGTAGATGAGTTTTCTGCAAATGACTGACCACTTCTCCATAGAAGACATCTGCATGTCTCACAAATAGCTTGGCCAGCAGCCAGTCAGACTCCAAATCTCTAGGCAGAAAAAAAAAATAATTCGGGTTCTCCTTTGAGGGATGCTGACCGAGCTGAGGAAGCATATTTAGGTTTTGCAACAGGCGATGGGAAAACAAAACCTGTAGTCAGAAATAATTCAGTAATTATACAAAAAAACCTGAATTGCGATGGGCAGCAGTTTGTTCTCTGGATTTAGGTAGAGCAGTCAGAGGAAGCGGTTTACCATCAATAACTCTTGTAGGCAGACCTTCCATGATCTTGTAATCACTAATGAATATATTGCCTTTCTGTAGAATATAAATTACTAATGAGGTGAAAAAGGTGAATGGTAAGGAAAATTTCTATGCATCACAAATGGCATGCAATTTTCCTCACCGTCATCTCAGCAGCCAGAGAGCTTCCATTGGCCAGAAAAGTTTCCACCATTTCCTCTGTGACGGGGAAGTTGCTGGGAAGCCTTGAGCAACGTTTGATCGTATGGGGGTTGAGACCATTAAGACACTGGGATCCAAAAAAGTCATCATCCTTCCAATGCTGTGACACAATACATTTATTTTTACAGTGTAGTAGTCAAACACAAAACATGCTTCACTAAGATCCTACCTGCCACAGGGGACTTTTTGAACCAGGAGAATTCCTTCATGGCCTCAAAGCTTTCCCAGTGCTCAGTAGAATTTGTCAGACCTTTCGGTATGAATTCACCTAACCTGAATAGAGCCAACCCCCCCCCCCCCCAAAGAGATTTTTTTTTATACATCTATCTATCTTTTTTAGAAAAATGGTAGATTGTTGCACTTACGCTGCTTCTTTTACGAGTTTAAATTGAAATGCTTTTGTGAATGACAAGATGATATCTGCGGGAATAGCTTTCGGATCCTTCGAGTTGAAGATGTACGATAAACAGTCTGCATACACATCCCATCTATTGAGGAAGACAGGAAATAAAAAAAATAAAAAAAACAGAACACACACCCCCCCCCCCCAAAAAAGTATGAATAAGAATCCCTGTCAACAGTCAGAGGCGCACCGTGTTAAACCGTAAATACACTCACTTGTACATTGATTTTTGTTGGACCAATTCATTTTCCCGTTGTTCTACAAATCGAGGATTGAGCTCTTCAAAAGCTTTTGTAGCTACAGCCAAGCAATTCATTTAAAAAAAATAAAAATAATATTTAATCATAATATTTTATACAAACATAATAAAAAAAGTAATATTGCATCATTTTTTACCCCTTAATAAATGCTTACCATTTACATGACATAGCTGCTTACAAGTGGGAAAATGCTTTACTAACCTCTTCCCCCTCTCAACAACACGGATTCCCCCCTGGAAAAGAATTTCATCCTCCTCAGGTGTCTTCACCAAAACACACGGTTTTCCAGGGATTCATGGACAGGATCTTTTTCCAACTTGAGGAGAAGTAGACATCCTAAAGATAAATGTGTAGTCACAGAATACGTTCCGACCTGTGGTTGGAGAGGATGACACAATCAGGAACATGAGTATAGATCAATTGCCATTTTAAGCTTGTTCCAAAACCCAAAGAAAACCATTCCCCCACCAAAGATTTGAACTGAATTCCCACCAGGCAGCCAAAAAAAAAAGCTTCTAATGAATTACAAATATTTAAAGTTGTTCTTGTCTTGTCAGTTTGTTTTAAAAAAAGTTTTATTCTCCAATCCAAAACTCAACTGAGTGCGCTCAGATTGCCGCTCAGTGCCGATCAGGGTAACATACAAGCTATAGAATGTGCATGCTGGCAGAATGCCTCCTGCAGTCACTTTCAGCGTGTACTCTCCCATAATGCCTAGCTACCTACAATAACTGAGACATGCAAAAGCAAATAACTTAATTACAAAAAAACACACTGGTTACATAAATGATATAGCCCAATACTGTCATATATGAGGACATTTAACATGAACAAACTTCATAAAGTTTCCATTCTTGGTAAACACAGAGAACACACCTTCTAATTTGAACCACAAAACATGTTTAGCAGGAATCCCAACACCACTTGAGCAATTTAACAGCAATCACAGGTGTTGGACATTCTCTAATTACAAGAGTGCCTCCCTCCTTTTCTAGGAGGCAATCACCCCATCAAAGAGAAAAATCTTGGTCTTAAATGTGTAAAAATTCTAAGTAATTTAGTCATTTTGCTCTTAATGTCACAATTAGTGCCATTTATAAATGTTCCCAAGTGTTTAGACGTGGTTTCAACCTGGAAATTAGCTCCAAGGGTTTCATAAATCAGTTATTAGTGACCTGCTGAAGTAACCCAAAGTTAATTTAAGGCCTTCCTCTTCACATAATACTTTACAAGAAAACATATTCAAATCATAATATATTTGCAAATCATACCTCCGACTCTATAGTGAGGCTAAAATGCTGTACTCTACCTGGCAGCTACAGCTTTCTGGGAAGCTGACAGCACAGACAAATCTTTACTCAACAGGGCATTCAGCAAAGCCCAAGATGAATTGATTTTTTGGCTATCAATGCTTTTATTAGATAGAGTAGAGAGAGATTAGGGAGAGATGGGCAGCAAAGGTCCACCATTTTGGTCTAGATGTCTGCATGAGTCTTCCCATGCCATACCAGCTTGTCTGAGGATAAATCCTCATGACTTTTGGTACAAACATTCATGTTCCCCAAAGGATGAATTATAAAAACTGATTTTTCCTCTAGCACTCTGTCAGGTCAACATTTTTACTAGTGTTTGCATTCTAGCATGCTAACTAAATAAACACTATGACTGCCAAACATCAGCATTTTTGCATTGTCATTGTAAGCATGTTAGCATACTGGCGGTGTGGCTGTAAATTCATTTTTCATACATATATGTTTTAATAATTATAATCTGTATTAGGAAAAGCACAATATATATCCAATAAAGGCAATGAAGATAATCGTCTAAAAACCATACAGGTAAAAGATAGTTTTTACATGATGACACAGCTTTGCAATTCTGTAAGTTATTCATGGTTAGTCATTGAACTATGATTCACTGGAGTTCATAGTAGCCCAGATCCAACTATGCAAAAATGTTTGCAGATTAGAATTAAGATATTTAAATTAAAACCGCTCCAAGAGGATATAACTCCATCATCATCTATTAATCTTAAAAAAATACAGTCAGCCAGTGAGAAAATCTCTGTTGAAAGGCAGGTTTGCTGTGAGCCATGTTTCCATAACAGATGCCCATAACCTCTTAGTGGGGCTACTTAAAAAAACTACTAATAATGTTTAGTTTACATGACAATCTTTTGGGTCCAATGTAAAGTCCTTGGCAGAATAAGCTTTATTTGTCATGCCTTTTTTCATACATGTTGTTTTTTGTAAGTCTTACCAACCAGTTGCACACAATGTGCCCATAGTTGCATTTTTGAGTGGCATTTCAATTATTTTCCCTAGCTAGGTGTACCTAATAAACTGGCAACTGAGTCTATATATACACATTGCTGTTCTTAAAAGCTGCACTAGTTAACCCTTTTTTGACTGTTCTAGCTGAGTAAAATGAACATGAATTCCTCCTACCTGGTCATGAAATGTACACTACTTATGACTAAGTAAATACATGTTGAGCCCTATGAATAGGGCTGGGGAAATACTATTGTAAAGATTTTTGTTGGCATACCAGAAGTGACATGTTTAATAAAAGATGCGGATGTTTGTATGTAAAGTTTAAATATTTTCCTTTTATCCAAGCACCAATAGATAATACTGTAACAACAATGACATTTTATATAGAATAACTGAGGAGCGCTTTAAAGACAAACAAATATATAAAATGCTGTAAAGACTTTATTAAATGGTAGCAAATTACATGCATTATCAGGCTATGCACAAATTAATATCCATATGTTTTGACTCACATCCTGACATCCTACAAACCCATACAACATTGGGTTGACATACTCCATGGGAATCAGAAAGACTGGATATCATTTAGGGTCACGTGTCAACAAAGGAGGGGTTAGCAAATCTTGTGTAAAGTGCTGGCATAAATTCTGTCACACAGAAATAGTGCAATATAACCAACAATCTGCTTTATCCCCAATGGCTACTACTGAAAGGCAAGATAGTGACACTTAAATTCCACTTTCTCAGTGTATCATATAGAATAATATAAATCTATTGTACATATTTTTCTTCAAGAAAATATACTTTATCTTACCAGATTATGGGCGCATTTCCAGCACAAATCCATGCAAAGCTAAATGCTAAATACATTTTTCTCCACATAGAGACACCCACAACAACAGACTTTCACTGCGGCAAGCAAGTTATTTCATTAAGGCTTCTTCATAATCTAGTTTAATACAGGAAGAGTTAACTGGTTTCAAGACAGAAAATCTTTAATTGCAACATCCTCATAACACCACAGTGAATCGCGTGCAGCTATGAGAGGTCCGCCTCGTTCAGTCAGGTGTTAACGTGACGCAGGACGCGACGCAGCGAGTGTCCATCTCGCGCAGTGCACATGGCAGGAAGGGGCACAGGCTCGGTCTTGTGCTCCACTGTGTTGTAGTGGCACTTCTTAAGATGGTCCGACATGCTGGGGAGATCATTGAACCCCCACGACAACACTGGGCTGAACGCAGTGCTGAATCTCCACACCTGTAATGGTAAATAAAATAAAAATACATGGAATGAAGAGTACAGTGCTTGTCAAAAAACTGTAGAGGGACTCCCATTTTCACGTTGTTTTTTTTTCCCCAACTTTTTTTCGGGGCGGGGGGGTTATATGACTATTTCTTCGACGGGACCACTTGCTGGACAACAAGAGGAGACTCCTGGAAGTTACTGCTCCCAGCCAAGAAATAGTCAAATTGTTTTTACAGTATGTTTTTTGCACGGAACAAACAAACAAGACATAACTTGTTGGTAGCTGGATTTTGTTACCTTTGGACAGAGTCAGGTTAGCTGCTGCAGTCTTTGTGCTGGGCTAAGCTAACTGGTTGCTGGCTCCAGCTACCGAACAGACTTAAGAATGGTTTTAATCTACTCATCTATCTCTCAGCAAGAAAGCGAATAGGGGCATCTCCCAAGATATCAAACTATTCCTTTTAAATTTTAAAATGTTCAAAACATTAATTTTAAGCTTTGGGGACGTTACTCCACAAAATCAATCTTTAAAACAGGTTTGTAATAATTATTTTTATTCCATGTTGTTAAAAATATGGTCACAGTATTTTACTGCAGAGCTACAGTTGCACATCAGCTATTTGGAATGTTGCCTTTTACAAAAGCACATGCATTTATAAAACAATTACATACAGTAGGTTTACAGTACAGATTTTCTACTCACTCTATTTTTGATATGCCATGACACAGTGCCAGGAGCACCAGGACACTGTCTCCGCTCCCACTGCACCTCCACTATGCCCCTGGTCTGGAGGAGGCTGGCACACACCTCCCTCATAGTCCGTGACACCAATGACAGCTGGCACAGGCTGAAACTATCCAGGAACCCAGCTATGTGCCACAGTATCTCAATGGGAAGTCCACTGAATTGGTCAGACTGGCAGTCACTAGGAAGTTCTGCCTTTGGGCATGGCTGAACCCCAAAGGACCTGAGATGCCTGTCATGAATCACCTTGGCCCCATGGGTGGATGGGTAAAACCTCCGCTGCGAAAACGTGCAGCCATAATATGCCAGGGGGCAGCGTCGCTCCATCCACCCATTGAGACCAGCGTGAATGTCACCATGGACATTTGTGAAATGGGAGGAAAAGTGGTCCCGGCGGAATGACTGACCACAGATGAAAGGGAACATGTGCTGGTAGCGGGGGTTAGGAGGGAGGTAGCGATTATGTGGGACCGCCTCCACCTCCAGAGCCTCCAGGACAAGGCCGAGGCGTAGAGTGCGGAAAGGGCTAGGGTAGGAGAGCTGGGGGGCAGCATGGTCACAGGCAGATGCAGAGGCCATGTCGCCCACTCTAGTGTTGGTTACCAAAATAGCTGCAGGGAATGTGAAAGTCTGTGTGCCAAAGTCAACACGGTAGCCATCAACATAGACTGTATCAGAGATCCTTCTGCACTCTCTGGACTCCTCTAAACAGAAGAGGAGGGCTGCTGTTATCAGATCAATATCTCCCAGACCCATGGGGTCCTCATCCTGCTCCAGGTCTGAGGTATCCACTGCCTTGTCCTCCATTTTGGGTCGCAATCTATATAGTGACCTGTCTGGGATGAAACCTATCCGTCCATTAGGTAATGACCATTGGCCCTGGCCCCTAAAAAACTGGTAGTTGTGGAACTTATGCTCAGGCCCATGTCTTTCTAAAAGAACTAGCCCCCTGTCTTCCAGGACCACATGACCAGCCCTCTGTGCCACACCCTGGCTGACATGCACTGGAGATGCCATTGAAGGGGTGACTGGCTCCTGGACAACTCCAGCATTCCTGTCATGTTCCACCTCAACAGGACAGGCTGTCTCCACACTGGCCTCCATTGCTCCTGACAGTGGTCCGTCTGTTGTGTTTAAAATCCTTGGATCTGTCCCTTTCAGAGCCCCATTTCCTCGCAAACAGCTAGAACAAACACTCTGCTCCTCCATCTCTTTCTTATTCAAACCATCAGTAGCTGCAGGTGTTTTGTCTTCTAGTCCATTCTGAAGGTCTCCACTGTTGCCTAATCTACTCTTCTGCATGGCAGCATCTCTGTTTACACACTCTGTGCTGCTGTCAACAGACTTGGCACTGCTAACAAATTCTAAAGCAGCAGCTAAGCTTCTTGCAGTCTCAACTGTGGCATCATAGAGTTTACTGAAGTGCTCCTCATTCAAGCCATTAATGCCACTGATAATTTTCTCCTTTGCTGAACCTGGTGGGGGAGGTTGTGGCTGATGTGAGGATGATGACTGTGAAGGGGACTCAATATAGGTGGGGGCCTCAGGGGTAGATGTAAGCAAAGCTGCGTCTGTTGCCCTGTTCTCCTTATTAACATGTACAAGTGACTCTCCCTCTGCAGTAGGTGCCATCGCAATCACCTTGAGGGACTCCAGTAGTGTACGCTGGTCCTGAAGGGCAAGTGCCATGTCCAGCTGCTCTGCCTCCTCCACACCACGGCTCAGGCTCTCATAGGAAGTATAGTCCAGGCAGCTAATTGGCCATCTGTTCCACTCCATGGTGCAGCACACCGCTCCAGCTGGACACACTTCGAGGTGTGCATACATCTGGCTGCGCAGCAGAGTGGCAGGGCAGCCATAGCCACTATTAAGACAGGGGACCCTCATCAGCGGGCACATCAGGTGGTGCTCATCAACTTTGCAGGAGTGAAATACAGCACCACACACCAGAGGACAAGTGATAAGATCACATGAAATGCCTGACTGGGGTCTGACCATGCATCTCTGGTTAACACAGGACATACAGTGAACATGGTCCTCCATCTTCAGAGCTGAGGACATGGAAAGCTTCCGACTCTGTGAGAAAATCCACTGTTCTGCCAAATAAGCAAACAAGAGCAAATAATGTCAGTTTATTAAAGAGAAGACAAGCAAAAGGGTGGGGTGGGGCTTACTACCACATCACTGATGATGTTAAAAGCGCCACAGGTCACTAGTACTTCAAAATGAACTTCACTGAATTTGAGTTTTGCAGCCAAACGATTTGCTCAGCTGATACATACTGTAACATTGGAAGAATGAGTAAGGAGGAGAATAATACAGAAAAGACAATAAGATAAGTAAAAGAACATTTTGACCTAGCAAGTAACAACATTTAATAAAAGTAATATTTTTAATGAGTATCATTTTCCAGTCACACCACATTGTCACTCAAATGAAATGTCACATAAATGTTTTGTCTTGTTGACCGTGAAGGGAAAACACATTCCACAATGGACATGACCTATACCACACCAGGTACTTTCATATTTCATGTCAAAAGAAATATTTTATATGTAGGCTATCTGGACAACACATTTTGCACAATAATATATGCATTTACTGCAGCCTTTCTGAATAAGAATATAATAGATAGATAATAAAAGACTTTTGATGCAAACATTTAATATTGAAACTATGAAATCAGCAGTGTTGTACCAGAGCTTTGATCCAGTTGTGAATGGCTGCTATTGTTACTGCAAACCACCAGATGTCACTGTGCTTGCTGAGATCCAGGTCTTAAAGATCCAAAGATTTTTGTGGCATAAACACAAAGAAAGCTCCAAAACATTTTAGACCGTGTCCAACTAAACAACAGGCTGGCTAAAAATTCTAAATTACAGCTGACTAAATATTTTACGTTTAAAACCATCAACATTCGTCTGGTTCAGTTGACTGAACACTAGCAAGGTCTGATGAATCAATGGCAGTCTATCCATTGATCTTTGAAAAGTGATCTGGGGTTATTGTTATGCTGAATCATGGTTTACTACTATTTCAAACACTTTATTTATTCTTATCCAAGACATGGCATTCATTTACAGCAAGGGTTACATTGTGATTGGATTGCTAGCTGCCTTTGCATCTCTTTCATCCACCAAAGTGGCTGGCACATCTCAGTGGCCTACACTTTCACTGGATCTTGTTATGGATAACAATCTCAGTCTGTAATACAGAGGTGCTGTTTGGCTGTGGGTGTGCTAACTTAACTTGTTAGAAAACAGTCTAATTATTTAATGTAATTATTAATAAGTCTTTGTTTACCTTGATAGACAGAGGGGGACAGCTGTGGAAAAAGTACTCAGATTCTTTACTTTAGAAAAAGTACCACGCTGTAAGATTAAAAATATACTTAAAAAGGTATTCAATATACTTAGAAAGTACTCAATGCAGAAAGATGCCAAATATTCACATTGTCAAGCTGGAACGATGAAAGGTTTTCACATGAAAAATGAATGTAAATGATCAAAATAGTTTTATGGCAGGATGAAAAATATTTCAGTAGAGCAGAAAAGTTAAATATTTGCATGGTAGAACTTTTATAATATCTTGGCATTTGTGGTTTAAAATCAACACAGACGTAGTAACGTAACAGCCTGCTCATGATAATACTCAAAATCAATAAAATGGGACAATCAAAGAAACTAAATGACTAAGCAAACCTAAATTGTCTGTGGTACCGGGGTTCTGTCTCTTGCCATCTCTAGAGCCCGCAGAAGCCTGTGAAACAGTGCCCCCACTCCACCCCCTGGTCTTTAAAGGACCTTATTAGGAAGCTCAATAACAAGAAGGTCCACACCTTTCCTGTCTTTAATTTGGGAAGCCGTGAGAAAACTTCAGATAGACCCTAGAACATATAGCAATTCAGTATTAAATCTTTGAAGAAAAAAAAACATTTAACGTTTCTCTTTCTATAAAGATCAGTATGAAGTATACTACCTGCAACTAATAAGCAGTATGGAATAGGAACCCAGTTGGTGATGGTAGTACTTGTGTATTCCTTTCAGTACATCCAACTTGGTTGCCACAGAATTTAGATAATTTCATATGGGATGATACTACTACTGACATCACCTGTCTATTTCCATAACCACATTATTGAACAATGTATTTATATGTAAACGTACATTTGAAAAGGAACATCTATTCTGTCACTTCAAAGTCTTCAGCTAAGGTTATAAATGCGGCTTGCATGGACATCAGTAATCGTACATCACTTCGTTAACGTTGACTAGTTACTGAGCCATAAAATCATACATTTTAACAAAACTAAACGGCGGTGAATATATCCCCAACAGCTTTTGTTACTTTAGTTTTTCGCCAGCATTTAATCAAGCTGGCTCATTTAACTTAATAAGAGCCCAAAATAAGAGGATACACTGATAACAAGTAAGGCAGCAGCCTACCAGAAATATACAGTGAGTTGATGCAACTGTTAGCTAACGTTAGTTCCTGACAGTTAAAGTTTTCTTACAACCAGCACTGTAGCAAATGAACCGGCGATAACAAGAGATGCCTTTGCTACTGTGTACATTAGCTTTTATGAGCTCCCCTACAGCAAGCCAGATTGTTGTCAACTGTTAATAATAAATCAACTTGTTTTTCTAACAATGGAAAGATAGCTTACCCGGCTAATGTTGGCTAACAACAACTAGCCAGCTCGGAAGTTCACAACAAACTAAATTAGCAAGATAATGTTACTGTTAGCATGTGAGTAGCTTCTCACCTTATCGTTGTGTCACAGGAAAACGTATGATAAAATGTTTGGTTGCTATATATATATAAACACAATTAGCTGTCCATGTAGTACCTCTGTGCAGAAACTGCTAACGATGCTAGCTACAATTCTTTTCACTCAACCTCCTTTTTTCTGCTCAAAACTTTATTGACTAACTTGTAACGTTACATCAATTTCACATTTATCACTACAAGTGCTCACGTGGACTCATATGACACGAATAAAGGAAAACAACAAGTAAAGTAAAAAAAATACAATAAAATGTAATTGTGTAGATAGATACTCCTTTGTAATCTTAAACAACTTTGCAGAAATGTTAAACCGTAAGGAGAGTATAAAAAAATGTCAAGAATTTACCTAAAAGATTAATTAATGAACACTGAAATTAATTCTACTTAAAATAAACTATGTATTATATTTTCAACAAACAGTTTAAAATCGTACTCTTATGTTATTAAAGCCTAATTAGATTTTTAATTAGGTTAGAGACTATACAAATCTGTCCACTACAAATATTGTAAAAGAGATTGGTGGTTCATTAATTTCCAGTATGCTTATTTCTGCATTTAGAATAAGTGATATAACCACCTATTAATTAAATAAAACCATTTTAAATATCTTTGCAAACAGACACGAATTCTTTATAGGTGACTGGACGTTACGATACATTCATGGCACGGCAGTTCATTTTTGGGCATATGTGCCCATTATCAATAAATAAATCAGACACAAAACTCACTTGGCCTCCCCCGCAAATCACATCAACCTGTAGACCTACTGTCCTAATTACATTGCCTGACACATCTTCTTACGCATTTGTTTTTTTTTAAACAACATGCAGTGACCAGTGACAAACAGGAGAGGTCACTGTTGCATTATTTTTGCGGCCTCCTAGCTGGTAATTGTTTGACTTGAAGGAGACGCCACGTTTCGAGGTCGGGGTCACCTATATAACAGTAAATCACCCCTGGAGCTGGAGGCGCTGACTCATGGACACAACAGCAGAACAGTGCTTAGCTGTACTGAATACACTTGTCATGAGGTGTTGAAACAAACCTATGCAGTCAGTGGGACCACCACCATTTACATGATATAAAATCCAAAATAATCTTTCTATAAGAAGGAGAATTTTCAATGAGTTTTCCTATTAAAATCGTTATATAGCCTACTCTAAACTCAAATGACTTACTACTGTAGGGCTATATGCAAAAGCTTATATTGGTTATACAGAAGAGTTATTAGGCTATAAGTTGTATGCTGTATAAAACCTATGTTCAAGGGATTTTGCATGAGAACAAAATGCAATGTTAGTATTTGCTTGGATTTTCAGACTGTTTTCAATTTGTGCATTTGCAAATCCAATATGCAGTATATTAATCTCAAGAAGTCTTCCAAACGTGCTCTGACGTTAACTACCAGAGCAAGGCAAGCATAAAAAAACTAAACTACACTAATAGATTGGTAAGTCCAGCACTGAAAGTGAGAGAATGAAAGAGACCACCCAAAGGTCTGCAATGACAAGACCAGACTCCAGATCACACACACACACACACACACACACACACACACACGCACACTTTTACATATTGTATACAGCAAACCTAGTAATTTAAGATTCTTTGTGCTGTGGTCTGTCACATTTTTAATAGTCTATCAATCCCACTTCGATGAAAAGGACAAATCTTGCTGAGTAAATGCCAACTTTCCTGATTCCCCCGAGTTTCGCAAACGAGGTCTAACATGAAATTTTTTTTTGGATTGATTGATGGGGTTCATTTTTTGAGGAAATAAAAGACAAATGTAGGTATATGTGTATTTATTTATTTATTTTTTGATCATCCAATTTTTTCACAACCGTAAACAATTACGGTGACACCAATAGCCTATTATTAAGTAAAAGGGGGAAACAGAGCAGGAAACTGGAAAGAAGAACATCACAATATAGCCTATACCTATTCATATTATTATTGAAATTGATCGGTCTCTTTTGACCAATACTACATCGTAAAAATAACAGCAGCCTACTGCTTAAGTCATTGCTGGAAAGCCGTCAACCCACGCAGACTCCAGTCCTCGAATAAACCGAGTAGCCTACTGCAGTCGCCCTTTGCCTCGAAGTGTGGCTGCAGCATCCAAGTAGTCTCTCCTTCCAAACATGTCACATTTATTCAGGTTCAATATCAGATGCTCGCTCCCGAAGCCCCGGGACCAGAAGTGGCAGTGTCATAGTGGCTCCTTTATAAGTTTATTTGTGATTTATACCGCCTGGCGTGAGTCACGACAGGACCATAGCGTGTAAACTGCATGCACCCCGGGGGAGAAGGCTGTATCTTCTGTGTGGGATCAGTTGTGGGGTGCTGCTAAACCATCAAGACTCACTCTTCATCACTGAGGGGTTGTTTCTATTCAGTGATAGTAGATGACAGTGATCACCATAAGAAACACACTGATATGAACAACATATATTCTTTATGCAATTTATTTTCCAATGACAACGTGTTTTCCTCTCAGACTAGAGTAGAAAATAAAGCTCCATTCAGCGGGTTAAAGAGCGGCAAAACTGAGATCTATGATTGGCCTCCGTTGACCTCATGACTGAAGTGTCATCAGTGACCTTCAGCCAAACGCTAGATGGCGCGATGCAAACTGTTGACTGCTGTCCATGGTGCTGAACACATCCATTGTATATGGTTGATCAGAAGCCAGAGGCCCTCAAGTAAACTCATGAACTGAACATATGAGGAATATAAGTCATGAAAGACAGCGGCTTTGACGGTTCTGTCTGCTTGTTGTTAGCACTTGTCAGTCTAACATCCTATAAACTCCCTTCAGTTACAGTGAGCTGTCATATAATTCATGTGGTGATTAACGCCTGACACCAATGATCTCACTCTCTCCCAATCTCAAAATAACACATGACTATTAAGTTGCTACAAATATTTATGATGGCATATTAAAAATGGGACGCCTCCTATACACAATCACACACATACTTATATTATATAGACTACATATATATTATAGCCTACATTATATTTAATGCATCTAATAGGCTGTGCCTTTCCACCAAACATTTCCAAGCCTGCTTATATGAAGTGGAGAAAATACCTCGCATAGAAGCTCAAATGCTCCACTGGTGTTATTTTTATAATGTATTATACATGACAGAAAATGTGGATTTTTTTTAATTGTCATTTTAGCTATGACAAAACATAAGGTCTAACTCTCATAATACACGTTTTAAATACTTGCAGGCATAAAGAGGTAAATACTGTAGAAAAGGCGATGGTTGCTGGGGGATCTTCATGTATCGAGTTGGGGTGTGTGTGTGTGTGGGGGGGGGGGGGGGAGACAGACTCAAGTGATACAGCCTAGCACCACGCGCTTACAGAAGACGGACGAAGGCACGCGACATGTCTCAAGGATTCAGGTAAGTTTTGATGAATAAAAGCAGCTTAAAATATATGTACGATGTAAATAGTATAAAAAGATAGATGATAAAGATGAATATAATGTAACATGGGCTGTTGAGAACAGACGAATCTTGCTGAAACATTCCCTTAGTTCGCGTATTATTATGATCAGTATTATTATTGTTATTATAAGGCCTATCAACCGATGGTGACTTATGCTGCACGACAGATAAGAAGAAGAGTGCAGGTTAGGGTTTAAAACAAACAGCCAAGGGTATCTTGTTTGCATCCTCATGTAGAATTCAAATAGGAGTCTACTGTGGAAGGATTGTAGTTTCTCGGCTTTATTAGAAACTAGCCGAGTCAAATCGTGAAGAATGTGGAGAAATGACGAGCCCAGGCAGCAGTGCCAAAGACGTCTTTGTAACATGTTTGGAAAGCGCGCTGTCCACGGTGCTGAAATATGGTTTCTGCCTCATTTTCTCAATGGACAGCGAGCACACTACTTTCAGCCTCTCCCAATACGTACTGGCTTTTGTAATAAAACACGACTAAGAATTTTTTTAAGTACCTGGCTGCTCCCTCCAGAGCTAATCACCTACACGTTGGGGCAACTTTCAGTGGACAGTAGCCCCGTTCAAACACTATTTAGTGGGTGTGAGTTAAGTGCCTTGCTCAAAAGCACCTCGATGGTATAAAAGAGGCATGAGGACTGTTGCCAGCTGTAGCAGTGTGAAACAGGGCGTTGATGGAAAGGAGCATGCGTGCTTAGTCAACTCTTCCTACATAAATCTTAAGCACATCTGTCCTCTTTTCTCCCAGCTTACATGTCACGGCAGTTTGTCTTATTTTTCTGCAGGTGTGTGCGGATATGCCCCGGGTGTCGTGCTCACAGATCACGGTCGCTGGGATAAACGTGGATTTACTGACAGACAGAGGATAGTATGCCTGCACAGTTGGCACGGCTCACGCTATGTGGCACAATATGGCACGCGTAAAGATGGGTCTCTTCGCTCTCCTGTGTCTCCCCACATTCTTCTACCGCGTCCTCGTGCTCTCCCACAGCAGCAGCATCAATGAGCGGTCGGTGGTCCCCCGCGCCGTGTCCCGCTCCGTGGCTCGTATGGACGGAGACGTGATCATCGGGGCGCTCTTCTCCGTCCACCACCAGCCGTCTGCGGAGAAGGTGGCAGAGCGGAAGTGCGGGGACGTCCGCGAGCAGTATGGCATCCAAAGGGTGGAGGCAATGTTCCACACATTGGACCGGATCAACGCAGACCCAAACCTGCTCCCCAACATCAGCCTGGGCTGTGAGATCCGAGACTCCTGCTGGCACTCCTCTGTGGCCCTGGAGCAGAGCATCGAGTTCATCCGGGACTCCCTTATCTCCATTCGGGATGATAAGGACGGGTCCAAATGGTGCATTGACGGCACCCCGTCCCACCAGCCTCCACCCACCAAGAAGCCCATCGCCGGAGTGATCGGACCGGGATCCAGCTCTGTGGCCATTCAGGTGCAGAACCTTTTGCAGCTCTTCAACATCCCACAGATCGCCTACTCTGCCACAAGCACTGACCTGAGTGACAAGACTCTGTTCAAGTACTTCCTGAGGGTTGTGCCCTCAGACACCCTCCAGGCCCGGGCCATGCTGGACATTGTCAAGCGATACAACTGGACCTACGTGTCTGCGGTGCATACTGAGGGTGAGACCCCCTTCACTGACCTCT